CATCTTACAGGGCCAAGGAAGCAGTCGAAAAACTGACTGGTGATTCCGTCACCGCGAAGCACTAGAGAAGGTTTGAGATACCCTTCTCCTGTGCAGTGGTTTTCGGATGTTTTCGTTTCGTTGTCAAGTCTAGATTAAACATTTCGTATAGCTTCATAATTTGTCTGGACTTAGAACAGACCCGATACCCATTGAACACATTTTGCAGTCTTTTCTCAATTCAATTCTATCCTCTAGTATCCTTCTAGCCATCTGAGAGGCCATTCCAATTCATATCTTCCAGTAGAGATAAGTCTATTCGCATGTCCATCACCCTCGGCCCGTTCCAGTTCAAATCCAATCAAGTCGGGAACACAGTTCCGACGTCAGGAACTTGCAGGCCACAATCCAATGGCAATAATTTAATTTCCGATCCAGGCACCATCTAAAGCCGACAACCGACTTAGTCCCCCGCCTTTTTCGCAATCCCATACAACACCAGATTCATCCGATGTCGGTTGCGTGAATCGGCCCTTTCAGCCCAGTGGGCCGGAGCTCTCCTCTGATATCATTGAGCTGAGGATCGGATCCTTCCGAAACTCCACGACTGCGTACGGAGTACATAGTTGCTTGTGACAAGACCTCGGTCTGTCTGATCCATTAGTCCGTAGATGAATGCGAGCCAATTGGTGGCCAGGTGGATCGGCATCGGGCATTGACTTGAGTACTCCGTAGTTCCAGGACATTTTCACATGTTTTTCTTAGCTCATCCAGTGCTTATGCTTATGTAGTCAATTTGTTAGCTACCTTTCATCTAATTGGCAAGATGGCCGAGTTGGTCTAAGGCGTCAGGTTAAGGTCCACCTTAACTCAATAACTGTTTCCAGTTTCCTGATCTACGTTTGTAGGCGTGGGTTCAAATCCCACTCTTGTCATTTCTTTTTTGTTTTCATCTTTTTTGATAACCCACTTTGGGATGAAGTCTGCTTTTTCTCGCCCTGTTTTTTGTTTTTGGAAATGAATGTTGTAAATATTGTGACCAACCTTGAATTCGGAGTATGGGATAGGTCATATCTACATACGCTGAAAACATCCATGCATGTCCACCACATGATGAGCATTTAAGTAAAGATAAGCCGGCCTGAACTTCGCCGTTGCTCCGAAATATATCGATGTAGATACATACACGCCTTGACACCAATATGGGAATGCCCTAGAGGTGTTTCCTGCAGAGCGCAGAAAGGGGAGTTCCTGGGTAGGCCTGCCAGCTCGTAGAATGACAGGTCACGGAAGAGTACATGATGACAGCCTCGATAGGGAGAAATGACTCTCGTGGAATTAATTACTCGCTGTGTTCTTCTTCTCCTCCCCCTACCCCAACTTAGCACTACCACCTGGGCATGGCACATGTTTTGATATCTTCCTCTATCAATTTGCCAGACACATACAGGTATCACTCTAGTACCCCGGCTCTATAGGACCAGTTCTGTAAGCAACTAACGCACCAAAGCCCCGAACTGAAGTACTTGACACGTTATCCTACTCCCCACCCACAACGCCGAGTCACTGCACGGAGCTGCATATCCCAACCCAATCCGTAGAAGTAGCCAAATGCGACCTAAGTGGCTAGCAAATACCTGGTGGAACCAACGCAGATCACTTTCATACACCTAGGCAGCACAAGAGAGGATGTTCAACATCAACAGCAGGCTGCTGTATCGCCACTTGAACAGCTCCCGGATTTTGCAGCAATGCACGTAAATGATTTGAACGTTTTGGTGTTCCTCGCCTCGATATCTTGTCAAGTCTTCAACAACCAGCAACTGAATACCTTACCAAGCATATACGCTGGGTTTTTCATAAGGATTGGGTCTCCAGTACCTTGGACCTTGGAAACTTTGCTGTCTATTTTACTGCTCTTTTCAATACCTCCCACAAAGTTTCTCAAATCTCATACCACACAAGGTGGCGGATATCATCATATAGCTACCTAAACAGAGGGTCGGAGGATGTTGATAAGATCGGATTGAATTGAAGTCGAAGTACCTGAGGTCAAATGCTTTGGTAACTTTACCGCACTTCCACGACTACTTCAGCTGGTCACAGATAACAAGTGCACCCTGCCTGCTCGAGGTTGTTATTGATCCGGCCAAAATTAGACTTGGTATCCAATGATACCCACGAGTATTGCCCAGGTCATATACAGCTTCCCAAGACAGCTGGAGCTAGTTGTGCTAGGTGGGATTAAGCAATGGACCAGGGCCCGTCCACAAAGGGATTCGAGGCCTACCTGGGTGCAAAGAAGAAGACCCCTTGCATTTTAGATGTAAGTGAATCATCTTAGACATATGCCAGTTTTCTGGCACCAACGGATCTACCACGGGAGATTGATACAGGGGAGCTAAGTAGTTGGAAAATCACCGCTGTCCTAAATCCCAGCTATCAACACAGGCAGCGCTATCATGTTTAACAGATAATATAGAAACCTCAATGAATATTCAAAATCAATTGTGCCCCATACTATACATGTCAACAATGGAGCCCCAAAATGTCGTAAAAGAAGGCTCATGCTGCCTCAAACTTCATCTCAACGTCACCCCCACAAACCAGGCCAAACACCTGTCCTTCAATATAGGAAAATGAAACCAGGTTTCCAAGATGTATTTTACCACAGCGTCAAATTTCGCACCCATGTAAAGCGAAAGCTGTAAAAAGTCCATGTAGTGTGTCCTACTAGAGCGTCAGGACCCACTTATGTTGGTCGATTAGGGCTAGAAAAACAGTTCCGCTTATGTAGTCATTTTGTCAGCCCGCTTTCATCCCACTGGCAAGATGGCCGAGTTGGTCTAAGGCGTCAGGTTAAGGTCCACCTTAACTCAATAACTGTTCCCAGTTTCCTGATCTACGTTTGTAGGCGTGGGTTCAAATCCCACTCTTGTCATATCTTTTTGTTTTTGCTATGTTTTTGCCATAGATGGCTTTCAGGAAGTGAATCTAGGATTTTCAGTAACTTCTGGTGCTTTTTTGGCAGTTGTGTGGACGTTTTGCCAAGTACACGGTCAAGTATCGAGAGGCTGGGTAATCAGTCCTCGCTGCTCTCAAATCATCCAATGTCAAACAGACTATGTATCAAAGTCTCTAGGATATCCATACTTAGGTTTCCCTCTATGAACAGATATATCATTTGTACAGGGCAAAATGAAACAGATCATTATCTTTTGTTAATGAAAGCCCAGGTCCTCCGTAGAAGTTATGCGGGGAAATACTGGGTTCAGGTGGTGAAGTATTCCAATAGAATTAACATCGAGCCATCGCTCACTGGTGGATGTAGAAGTACTCCCCGTTCATCTGGGCTAGGGTACACACCCGGAGAAATCTAGAGAGGGCTGGGTGGTTCTCTGATCTCGGTTGAGGTCCGGGTCACCTGTTTTTGAGCATTTTATACTCTGCCTTTGCTTCTCTCCCTTCCATGTCCACGAATCGTGGTGCAGCCGATAAATAGCTGGTTCTCACCCTGTCGTACTTATTGTGATGACCAATCTTGGCAGAGCAATATCTACAACCTTTCATTCGTGATCTTGTAGTCGACGCTATCAACTGACAATGAAGGGGCGTCGAGAGGCCTGCCCAGGTGTATCATGGTTACCATTGTCATCTCCTGAAGCTTTGCATTCTATTGTGCCTGGCCTGGAAAGTTCCAATGGCCAGAGCAGATGTCTGTACGGTTCTTCTGCAGCATTCAAGGGAGTGGAACTCCAGCCTCAATTGTTTGTGTGAAAATTTTTGTGAGTCAACCTATTGAGCTTAATTAGTCGAAAATGCTTAGACCTTCTGATGAGCACGCACATCGACTTGGTCATCTGATTATCTATGGTGATTCATATCCTTGCTATAGACGCTCGAATCACAATGCAGATTGTGTTGATCTTTAGGCAGTCAGTGCTTCTTCAATTAGGCCATCTTCGTTGGTTCAAACCGGGGTGGGATTAATCCTGGTGTTCAGTTATTTTCCAGAGTCGTCCACATGTTTCTGGTGTTCTGTGCAGCCACGTTTGTTAGTGCCATCAATTGAGCAAAAGGGAGTGACCTTGGAATGTGAAACAAGTCTTGTCGCAGCTATCGATAATCCTCTACACATCTACAAGACATGTCGATTGGTCTCCCACTGTGTTTTGCACGAGACTGAAATACCGCTCCATTCAACTTTGACCCTTCCTACACCCTTATATGATTCGATACATGGGCTACAATTCAACCATGCTCTCAACCCCGTGGGTCAAAATACACATACTCATAGGCTAAGTATCCCTGATCTCAAACAACATCAAGCGCTAGAAACAGTTGCCTTTCCATCCAGTCGAAACACATATGGTCTTAACCATTCACGTAGCTGTGGGTATCTATGCCGGGGTTAGAATTTTTCACTTGACCACCGCTCACCCCACCACACACATACAAAAAAGAAAGCTATCGCCGTCGGGACAACTTCAGATTCATATATATGATGGAAGCAAAAAGATATGACAAGAGTGGGATTTGAACCCACGCCTACAAACGTAGATCAGGAAACTGGAAACAGTTATTGAGTTAAGGTGGACCTTAACCTGACGCCTTAGACCAACTCGGCCATCTTGCCAATTAGATGAAAGGGCGAGACCTAAATGACTACATAAGCAATTCCACAAGTATAAAGTCTAAAAATGATCTGCTCCGAATCTATCAAACACCCGGAGACCCGGAGACCCAGATATAATGTCAAAGACATGAAAACCCAGGTCTCAATTTTACCCGAGATTTTCAATGTGGCACCCCACACAGTGTGTAAGACCAAATACTTACCGGGACTGACAGCTACTTAGGGTTCCTCGATTCTAATGGGATTCGTTTCAAAGATGTGAGCATGGTACATTTAGATCGAAGTATTTGCTAGATAATATACATTAACTGTAGACATGTTCAAGTCCCAGACTTAGAGAACCGAAATAGTACATGTGTTAATACATGGCACAAAGGCCAGTCGTTTATGCCCACTGTCGAGGGTGGCGAAGCACATCCATAAGCTCCTTTTCACTCTTCTTATCCTCTGTCAATTCATCTTCATCCACGGGCATGTTCTCGGTCCTGGTTCCAGAGACCGGGTCCATGTAGGCCCAGCTAGCTGTCCGCGGCAGACTCATCAGAATGCTTTCAACACGGGCATTTGGGGTGCGCAGCCCGAAGCTGGTTCCGCGGTCATAAACAAGGTTGAATTCAACATAGCGACCCCGACGGAGTTGCTGCCATTGCTTTTGCTCCGGTGTATACAAAGCGTCCTTGCGTCGCTCGATAATAGGTACGTAAGATGGCAGGAAAGACGCCAAACCATCCGAGACGAAAGAGAACAATGTTTCCTGGGGGTTGGAAGATGAACCGGCAGATGTTTGGAGGAAGTTGGCGTCTAGGTCATCGAAGAAGATACCGCCAACACCGCGGGACTCACCGCGGTGGGGAATGTAGAAATACTTATCACACCAAGCCTTGAACTTGGGGTAGTATGTAGCATCGTGGCGGTCGCACGTATCCTTGATGGTCTTATGGAAGTGCTGGGCATCCTCTGGGAAGAGGTAGGTCGGGGTCAAGTCCGTGCCACCTCCGAACCACCAGTTCTTGTCCCCGTTGATGGGATCCTTGGGATCGGAAGTCTCAAAGTATCTGTAGTTGAGATGCACCGTGGGAGCCATAGGGTTGTGGGGGTGCAGGACCAGTGAGAGACCAGCGGCGAAGAAATCCAGGGAGTCGACATCTGAGCCGACAAAGGACTTATGATCAGCGCGCATCTTTTCAATGGCGGGCCGAGGCAATTTCCCGTATACTACAGAAACATTGACACCCGCCTTCTCGAAGACGTTTCCATCCTGGAGCACACATGAAATACCGCCGCCGCCATTGGGACGAGACCAAGTATCTGTTTTGAACTGCTGTCCGTCGATTCTGCCAAGTTCTTCAATGATCTTTTGTTGGTGTTGCTTGATCATCTTTTCCATTCGCAACCGCATCGGCGAGGACTCGTTGATTTTCGACGATTGCTTGAGGGCTTCATCCACTTCGACCATGGACGGAGCATCGAGTTCCGTCACCTCTTCTGTCATCTAAAAGGAATGAGCACTGTGTCCCTCCGCATTGAACAGGGCGTCTTCATACCATGGAGTAGATAATTGCGCCAATGAACGGCACGCCAAAAGCAAGTCGCAGATAGGGCCTCCAGACGGTGAATGGCTTCGGCTGAGGTGGCTTCTGTCCGGTTGAATAGCCGCGGAATGACTGCCCCGCGCGAGGGCCAGCATTGCGAGCATTGCGCGCCGATAATTGAGCCAGCGACCTCCGCAGAGGCGCGTAGGACCGGGTGGCCATTGTGTCGATTGGAGGAAGTGCGCGACGCGGGAAGGACTACCGAAGCTGGATCTGAATGGTCAATCTTTCTTCCAGCCCAAATGAACTCTAGACTGTACACAGAAACAAATGTAAGAGTCGTCGAGCCGAAGAAATAGTCATGCCGTCAATCTACCACGCAACCTTCAAATCGTACGACGAAGTTTGTATTGTTTGCATAGATGAGATAAGCAACGATAAGGACCTCGGGACTGCAGGCAGCATCCAGTAGCAGATCTCGTATTACATACAGCTCAAAGCCACCTTGAGAATTGAGTGAGGTGACGCAGCTCTAGCTTATAAATGACTTGACCATAATATTAAGTCAGAGAAGGTAGTAGTTCTCAATGACTTGTTCTCACTGGGGAGTCCCGGGGAGTATACGGCTGATTACAAAGGTTCTGCCGCGTGACTCCGACCTTGGATCCCGTGATGGTATTACCGTAACGTCAGCGGGGGAAATCGCCTGGTCATCCTCTCTCTGGTCACCCCTCTTCATCTCCTCTCTCTTTCTTTCCACATCTGCGAGACACTTCATCTAAGCATCCAACTCAACCCTTAGATTCTACCACCAAACTCACTGAGCGTCCTGGTATCTTGACCCGACTCTCCACCCGACCCGCTTCTACTTATCAACTCTTATCAGTCACGATGCGATCCAAGTTCAAGGACGAACATCCCTTTGAGAAGCGCAAGGCCGAGGCCGAGCGCATCCGTCAGAAATATGCCGACCGTATTCCTGTAAGTCAACTTGACCTGAACTGTGTGGACTGGAGGTTGCTGTTGGAGCAACCTCACCGGTCCTCACCGCTTGTTTGGTAGCTAACGGGCCCATCAACGTCTAGGTTATCTGCGAAAAGGTCGAAAAGTCGGACATTGCCACCATCGACAAGAAGAAGTACCTCGTGCCAGCCGATCTCACAGTGGGACAGTTCGTCTACGTTATCCGCAAGCGCATAAAGCTCTCCCCCGAGAAGGCCATCTTCATTTTCGTCGATGAGGTCCTACCACCCACCGCTGCACTGATGAGCAGCATCTACGAAGAACACAAGGACGAAGATGGCTTCTTGTACATCACGTACGCTTCACACCCTCTTTCCGGTCTATTTAATGGAGGTTTACTGACATTCCGGGTAGATACTCCGGAGAGAACACTTTCGGTGACCTGTAAAGGTTGATCGGTCTTTCTCTATCGAAATCGTTTTTTCTATCGATTTGCTATCCATGTACATCGATCCGCTGTGATCATGTGTGGTCTGGATAGGCGAGAAGGCTTCTGCAACCTTGGGATACTGGGAATTTCTTTTTTAGGGGTCACTGGCGTTTTACTCGGTGTTCTTCGTATTTTCCAACTTTGCTTGATGAATACTATTTTCTTTAGCTGCAAACACGATCGTTCCGAAGCTTCCCTTGGGGGAGATTGGGGACTTTTGCTCAATGCCGGTGTGCTTTTCCGTGAGTTAACAGATTCCTCCACCTGGGGAATAAACGAATAAATTTAGACCCTGTGTCAAAGAGAATGACTGAATACATAGTAGCTTCATATGTATTTAATCGCTAAAGACGAGTTATATCCAAAGTAGCAGTGTCGAAGTGCCAATATCATCAGTCTCCACCGTATAGTCCGATGGCGGCCCCGATAATCCCGAAATGGGACTAGCGCCATCCGTGCCGTACGATAAAATTTAACTCCGACATGTTCCTGAAATCATCCACGGCGTTGTCATTCTCGAGCTCTGTGTTTCTGTCCTGTTGGTCCTTTCCTGTCAATCATGTCTCCCGCTGCTGCCTCAAACGATGTCAAGAAGGAGTCTGCCACCGCGCGTCTCCTCGGTTCCGGTATGTCAAATCCCGTTGTGTTGTTGGAGATGCGAACTGACCCGTGATTGTTCCCAGGCTCCGCTGGTATCGCCGAATTGATGATCTTCCACCCCGTACGACCAATGCCCTATCGATGCAAAGCCTTTTCTGGCTCGGTACTGACATCCCCTATAGGTTGACACCACTGCCAAGCGATTGATGAGCAACCAGACTCGCGTGAGTTGAAGGCTGCATGCCCACATGGATGCATTTGTCGCTGACTCGATCCTTCACAGATCTCCGGTGCTACTGCTTTCAAGGAGGTCGTCTTCAAGGAGCACGCCAATGCCTCAATTGGCCGCAAGTTCACATCTCTGTTCCCCGGTCTGGGATACGCTGCCGGCTACAAGGTTTGTCACTCCACCGGTGACACCGAGAGGGGAATTCGCAACTAATATTATTGCCAACCAACAGGTCCTTCAGCGCATCTACAAGTACGGTGGTCAGCCTTTCGCTCGTGACTACCTCGCGAAGCACCACGGTGCCGACTTCGATAAGGCGTTTGGCAAGGGTACTGGAAAGGCCATCATGCACGCCACTGCTGGAAGGTATGAAGCATCAACCATTGGATACGAGATAGCGTCTAACGTGTCCCTTTTAGTTTGATCGGTATTGGAGAGATCGTCCTTCTCCCCCTCGATGTTCTCAAGATTAAGCGTCAGACTAACCCTGAGGCTTTCCGTGGCCGTGGCCTCTTCAAGATCGTCGCTGACGAGGGTATGGGTCTGTACCGTGGTGCTGGCTGGACTGCCGCCCGTAACGCCCCTGGATCCTTCGCTGTATGTTTTCCCTCGTGTCTTGTATCAGGATCACCCCGCTAATATGTCGACCAGCTGTTCGGTGGATCTGCCTTCGCTAAGGAATGGATGCAACTGAGCGACTACAACAAGGCCACTTGGGGCCAGAACTTCATTGCCTCCGTCGCCGGTGCCAGTGCCTCCCTCGTCGTCTCCGCTCCCCTCGATGTCATCAAGACCCGTATCCAGAACCGCAACTTCGACAACCCCGAGTCCGGTGCTAAGATCATCTCCAAGATGCTTAAGAACGAGGGCCCCACCAGCTTCTTCAAGGGTCTGACCCCCAAGCTGCTGATGACAGGCCCCAAGCTGGTCTTCAGCTTCTGGCTGGCACAGACTCTGATTCCCGCTTTCGGTCAGGTTGTATAGAGACCGAGTTTTTTAATTGTTAGATCCCCCCTTTTTTCTCTTTCCCCCAGGTCACTCGAAGACCGCTTTTGTATTTCTCATAGACATGTTTATTCCTACGGGGGCCTACCTTGGGTAGCACATTTTTGAAATGCGATGAACTCACTCCACTTACTATACGGGCAACGGACAAGCCTCGAGCTTTACACGGTTATATATGCCAATGAAATCAACTCTGTTAAAAACGAAGTCAAGCTTCTATTCAAATCACATAGTTTCTATTGCATATAGACAGGGATAGAAATAACCACAAGAATAAAACAGGATGTATAGTGGGAATAGCAACATACAAACCAGTTACACACGACAAAAAAAAAAAAGAAGCAAAGTAAAAAGAAAAGACGCCAACTCAAGCAGACACTTGAGAGTTCAACTTCAAAGGTATCCTACTGACCAGCAACGGCGCTTCTTTGCTTTGCCAGCCAGCCCTTAGAATCCCCTGTGCTGGCGCCATGCCGATATCGCGAGACAGTCATGTTGTTATTCTGCCAGCGGCTTTGAAGATGGTACCAAGCTGAGCCCACAAGGCTTAGCTCACGAGCTTGGTTATCAATGATGTTTTGGAGTTCAATCTGGGGTTCGGATCAGCTACTATAGATAATTGAGCAAGCTGTATTGTGAAGGACTTACCTCACGCTCCTTGGGAATGCCGTCATCCAAGTTTTCTTCGTAATTCTTCATACGTTCACGAAGTGACTTGACAAGTTCGTTCTGTTGTTGAATATACTGTAAATTGAGACTTGAGTCAGCATATCCAAAATGTAAGCACTGTCATACGAGGAACTGACCTCAGCACGTTGAGCGAGGCGTTCAACGTTCTTTTCCAAGACTCCAGCGCACTGTTTGAGAAGCTCGAAGCTCGACTTCTGTGCTACTTCGTCGCCCTCGCCGTTGTGGATTTCGAACTCGCCCAGAAGCATCTGCATCTCTTTCATCACTTCCTGATCTTCAGAGCTGATCTCGCTTTGCTTGTTGTCAAGCATCTTGCGCAGTTCCTCTCGTTCTGCGCAGACCTCACGCACTAGCGTTTGACTGGCATCCACTTCGGCTTCAAGGTGGTGGACGTTGTGTGTAAGGCTCTCCCAATCACCCCTGATCTTTGTGAGCTCGGTCGAGTTGTGCTCCTCGAGTCCTTTGAGCATCTCTACTTGCTCCATATTCACAAGACCAACTTCAAGAACGTCAGCTTGTTGCAGTACAAGGCCTTGTGATCATGGACTTACGTTCAGCTTGTGTGTCGGAGAGGTCCTTCCTAGCTGTCTCCAGAGTATCTTGAACTTCTGCAATCTTCTGGAGTGCACTCGTATAATTTTCGTATAACTTCCAGTAGTCCTCACTGTGAACGAGTTAGATAATGACCCAATATCAGAATTGCCTACCGGGCGATCAAACCTTTGCGAGGATCCGGATCGTGCTAACTGCACAGATGTAGCGAAGCTTTCTGAGAAGCCTCCAGTGTGAGAGCCCGGCTAAGTAAAGTCAGAATCTATTTGGAAGAGGTATCGGGAGAAATATGGCCTGGTGTTCTTACCGCTGAAGGCGGCTTGATAGATTCCATCTCCCGTTTCAAGTCATCGTTCTCGGATTTGCTGCTCTCAATTAGTATTGGACTGAAGCCAAATGGCAAAACATGGACTCACAGCTGAGACTCTTTGACACCGATCGCCTCAAAGTCCTTGTGCAGAGTCCCCTGCATCTTGGACGACTCAGAGCCTGGGGATGGACTGCCTGGTAAGCCATCCATCTCGCCTAGGCGTTCACGCAACTCGCTGATCAATGCATCGTCTCGCTCATGCTGTTCATCTGCGCTTTCGAGCCGCTCTGTCAGAGCATGGTTGTTGAACTCGAGCTGTTTCTTCAAGTTCTGAATCTCATTGCACTCCTGTTCCACTTGCGGCAGCAGCTTGCGATATTCCTCCAACTCCACATCACGCTCCGCTGACCATCGTTGCTGTGAATCAGATTCCTTGAGCTGTTGCTGAATGTCCTTGATCTGGTTCTTGAGGGTCTGGTTCTCCTTCTCGAAATCCTGACTGGCCTGGAGCTTCTGGCGGTACTTCTCAGCCGCATTGGCCTTGCGCGCGAGTTGGTCCTTCTCAGTGCGCAGCTCATCATAGTCATCTTGCAACTTCTGGTAGCGCTGGTTCTTGACCCGCAGGGACTCCACGGTCATGCGGAGGCTGTCGATCTCGTCCTGGGCCGCAGTCAACTTCGCTTCCTGGGAGGCGATCAAATCGTCCTGTTGGCGCGTCTTGCTCTCCAGCGCCTTCGCGTTGAACCCAATATCCCCTTTTCCGGACTTCAACGTGACGAGACGATCCTCGGTGGAGGCAAGGCGGTTTTGCAAGGTGTCGTTGTTCTCTTGAAGACGCGCGAGGCGGTTGTGCAGGTCCTCCAACGCCTTTTCCAGCTCTTTCTTCTCGTGTGTCAAACGGTCGTTCTCGGCAAGAACCTTGCCAACGCGTTCCTCGAACTGCAGTTCCAGGTCCACGGGGCCGTCGCGTTTCGCCAGATCCTCCCTCAGCTCGTCCGCCGCGTCCATCGGTTCGTATTGTCCATTGTGGGCTTCCTCAATGATATCCTTGAGTCCCTCTTGCGTCGAAGTGCTCAATTCCTGGAGGGTCTGCACGAAGGTTCCGGCGTTGGGGGAGCTGATGGCGGCGATCAGGAGAAGCTTCAGTAGCTTGTTTGTCTCTTTTCCTGAGCCCTTTTCCGCGATTGACTCGAGATCGGGTGACGGATCGAGGCCGGAGGGTATGGTATCATCGTTCTGGTGTCGAATGTAGTTGAGGAGTAGTTTGTGAATGTGCTTGAGGTTCTGCCACTTGGCGACCCAATGGTCCGTGGAGTTGCGCTCTGGAATCTCCTCGAGGAAGAACTGAGGGTCAATATCCTGGAGGATCTCCCAGAGAATAATTCCATCGGTTAGCTCGTCGGTTGTTCGGAGAGTCTTGCCCAGGGAGAAGCTGTTGATCCACTCCAGCAGGACTTTGGTCACCGTGTGTTCCGAAGCCATCTTTGGAGAGAGTGAATATCCAATTCCAGCTTGTTCAAGACCCCTGAGGCGAGGGTCTCTACTCCGTAGTTTCAAAGGAGTTTCGCGGATCCACGCGCTTTGGGGCGAAATCAACTAGCGGGGGGGGATGATCGGCCCTACGCGAATTCAATTAGGTACAATGTACACAATGTACTTGTCCCGAGGTCTGTTCCAGCGTCTACAATATAGTCTCTTTCTTTCTGTCTTTTGTATGTATTCTTCTATTGAAGTCTCCTTTGCCAAGAAAGAAAAGGCGTGAGCCTCTGTTCAGTACTTTCGCGTGTTTTGGTTCAAGTCACAACTAGATGGCATTCTCGTGACCGCAAGAACTTGTATCATTCTGAATCTAAGACGACTGCAAACTGTTGTAAATATCAAATTCAAGGACCCTCCACTCATTAGATCTGGCCCAATTACTCCTTTGTGAAAACGCCGACCCTGCCTCCTAGTCTTGCTAGGATGTCATGGTTTCCATCTGCCCAGGACCAGCTGCGCAATGGTGATGTGCGGAGGTGATGCACAATGCAATTAGAATGCAGCGGCATACTCTCCATTTGCATTGACAATCTTATCTTCTTCAATTTCTGGTTGGTATTTGGTATCCTGGGTGGAGAGAGTGTGGAGTGCACTGTCGGGAGCCTCGGCGGCGAAACCACTGGAGCTGAGTTAGATCCTATTCATGAGAGATGAAGGTTCACAGCATACTTGATTAGACCTAGATGAGAAATGTGTCAGCCGTTGTAACTGAGATGTATGTACTCCACATATTGTAGGTGTACAATGTCCGATGTCCATTGTTCATTGGAGAAGAGGGAACTTACTGTATTCATGAGTGATCACACCCCCCTGTTATTGTTATTGTTAGCTCAAGATCCCACCTGCTGAGATACACTGCGTACTGAAGCCACCAGAGAGTGTTTAGCCTGGGTGATCACTGAATCAGGCGTTCCCTTAGGGAAAGTGACAACGACCGACTTGAGAGATGCAGCCAAGGCCAGTGGCAGGGCCATGAGTGCGATGAAAGTCTTCATGCTGATATGAGTTTCTAGAGAGTGATCTGGTGTAAGAAGTGCAGTGTGTAAGCTGTGCAAGAGTGTAAGAGTGTAAGCAGAGGAAGTGGAGGAAGTAGAGTTGTGAAGTGGAAGACCGTCATCGATCACATGATATCTGACAATCCCTTTCTCTTTCGGCCCTCTTCCTTCTTCTTCACCTCCCTCATCTTCCTCTTTTCTTCAGCCCAGACTTAGATACGGTGGAAAGGGGGTGTTTTCCAGGTAGCTAGCAAGCATTAACAAGTTCTGACTATTTTTCCATCTTTGTGTCGATCCAAGAGACCCTGTTCCTTGGAACAAGGAGGATTAAGAAAAGAAAGTGATAGTTGAAGGCTAAGCCATTGCAGGCCCAAAAGCCAACCGAGAAAAGAGAGAGAGAAGAGAAAAAGAAAGAAGAAAAAAGAGGAACAGAAAGGAAAAGCTACGGAGTACCATTGACTCGCGATCCTTTCTTAGACTCGACTCGAACCCGACCCCGAACCCGACCCATCTCAACCCATCTCAACCATGTCTGGCCTCATCTCTGATGAGATCGCAGAGGACTATAAGAGTTCGCTGGAAGATCTCATTTCGAACGATGGTATTCAGATCCGGACCTTGACGGTCATTGCGAAGGAGAACACTGAACATGCCATGGCCATTTCCCGAGTCCTGGAGAACCACATCCGATCTGTATGTTTTATGTTTTCTTTGCGCCCTCCCCCACTGTAGTGTCGCTTTCTGACCTCCCATGTAGACACCCCCTCAGCAGAAGCTCCCCGCCCTGTATGTAGCGGATTCCATCGCCAAGAACGTGGGCAGTCCCTACACGCTGTTTCTGGGTCGCAACATGTACCAGACCTTTATGAATGTCTACACCCTAGTGGACAGCAACACACGAAGGAAGCTGGATGAGATGCTCAATACCTGGAAGCAGCCTGCCCCCGGTTCGCTTGACACCCGCCCAGTCTTCCCACCGGACATCACTCGCAACATCGAAAGTGCCTTGATCAAGGCCCGCACCGCTGCCCTTCAGCACCAGAGACCTCAGCCGGAGATCAACCGCGGTCGAGCAAACGGAACTCCCACCGGGTGGTCCAGCAGCACGACACACAACATGGCTCGCAATCAGCCAGCCCAATACCAGGGCCATTCCACATCGGTGAGACTGCTTTCATCTCTACTACTGCGCGAGACACTAACCCAGTGACCAGACTCCACCTCCGAATCAGCGCCAAGATGTTGACTTGAATCATCTCAATCGCGATGTGGACGGTCTCATCGCCGCTGCCAAGGTCGATTTTGCTAATAGCCCTTTCAACCCCGTCTGCCAACAACGCTTGAAGGCATTGGTGGATCTCCAGGCAATCCTTCAGACCCAACAGCTCACCCAGGACCAGCTGAAGCTGGTTCGCGATCAAGTCTCACAGCTTGCGGCCACAAGGCCCTCCGCGCCTCCGAGTGCGCCTACGCCCGCGCCAGTAACTGCGCCGGCAGTGCCCCAAATTTCCACCCCTCCAGTCCCACCGGCTGCGCAGCCCTTTCAGCAATTGCTCAACTCAGAGACCCTCGCTGGGTTGATCAAAGCTACCGCCGCGCGCCAGCAACCAACCCCGCCACCTCCAATGCCCGCCGCGATGCCGCAGATGCCTCAAATCCCCCAACAAACCGGCACCCCACAACCGGCAGAGAACCCTTTGATTGCGGCTTTGAGGGCCCAGGGCCTGTTACCCGCTAGCCCAACACCCCCATCCCTGCTCCCTTCCGCTTCTGCGACCCCAGCTCCCGGCATATCTACCTTGCCATATTTCATGTCCAATGGAATCCAACCCACCCCTCCGCCTGTGGCACAAGTCCCGGCTACCAACAGCACCTCTGGAGTCCCCATGAATTCGGCCTCTATGAAGATTCCCCGGTTCAACCTCATCGTCTCTTTGTACGACTCGCGACCCAACAGATGTGGAACCTGCGGTCGTCGATTCTTTGCGACCGAGAAAGGCAAGGAGATGAAGGCCCGCCATCTGGACTGGCACTTCAAGACCAACCAACGCATGACCGAATCATCCCGACGTGCACAGAACCGCAGTTGGTATGTCGATGAAAGGGTATGTTATCTCCATTTTCTGTTGCCATTCGAAGTATCAGACTCTAACCATTCACAGGATTGGATCAAGTCTCGCGAAGCAGGAGACGAGAATGGTGCCACAGACTCCCAGGCTACCAACGAAGGAGCTGCGGGCGATGAAAGCACCAAGCAGGAACCTGAAAAACCATGGATCCGGGCTCCCAACGACGCCACGCTCCGCAGTACCCCGTGTCCCATCTGCCAGGAGAAGTTTGAATCGACCTGGTCCGAGGATGTCCAGGACTGGATCTGGCAAGATGCTACTCAGGTCGGGCCTCGTGTTTATCATGCAAGTTGCTATGCCGAAGTCACCAAGGGTCCTGCTCCGGCTCGTCAGACCCGGACTAGCACCCCAGACTCAGTCCTTGGCAAGCGCAAGGCAGAAGTGAGTGATTGGCAGCTGTTTTGTATACTTTTGATCATAACTAACATATCACAGGGCATTGATTCTCCCAACCAGAAGACTCGCGTGAAGACAGAAGCGCTGTAACACATACACAACTTACTTGCATTGCATAGATGGCGTTACATAGCGAATTGATTTATCCCATACTCATACTCAGCTATTACACTACTGTCTCTCGTGCGATGCTTAAACAAATAAACAAATAGATAGGTAGACAGGTAGTATCATGACGTTGCGTGCCCCGCTCGGCGCATCTCCGGACTCCAGATTTGGCGATTATAAATATTGTTGTCTCCGCTGTCGGTTTCCCAGTATCTTTCTACTCTACACCTACGGAGTACACACCCTCTAAGACTTGTCTCGACTGAAAACTCATCATGGCACCACACATTGTTCGATGGGGCATCATGGGTACGTCCATTCGAGTTATTTCAACAACCAAAAGCTAATCCTCCCATAGCCACCGGTGGCATCGCTGAGAGTAAGACATACTAAATCTACCCGCTCAATGATATCACGAACTAATTCGTTTGGCAGTGTTCACCAAGGATATCTTGATCGACTCCAATGTCCGCGATGCTTCAGATGTGGCCCATCAGGTCGTGGCCGTCGCCTCATCCTCCTCGAAAGCTAGAGCCGAGCAATTCATCTCTGATCGCGGTATCAGCACCGCCTGTTCAGCGTATGGTGACTACGAGTCTCTTGTCGCTGATCCCAATGTGGATGTCATCTACGTTGCGACTCCCCACTCGCATCACTACCAGAACGTGAGACTGGCCTTGGAAGCTGGCAAGAACGTTCTCTGCGAGAAGGCGTTTACCGTCAATGCTGCGCAGACTAAGATTCTCGTCGAAATTGCCCGCAAGAAGAATCTCTTCCTCATGGAGGCTGTCTGGACTCGCTATTTCCCCCTCAGTATACAGATCCGCGAGCTGATCCAGAAGGGCGAGATTGGTGAAGTCCTCCGTGTCGTTGCCGATACGAGCTTTGGAGAGGATGTCGAGAAAACATGGGGAACTACTCACCGCATGGTGAACCCTGATCTGGCAGGTGGCTGTCTCTTGGACTGTAAGTTCATATCTGATTTTTATAGTCTCTGGGATTCTCATTCTATGGGCTATCGGATGATCGAAAAGCAGTGTAATTGACATATTTAGTGGGCATCTATTCCCTGACATGGGTCTTCCAGACTCTATACCACACCTTGCCCCGCGACCAAAGAAAGCCGCCTACTGTTTCCTCCCAGATGACTCCATACCACCTGACTGGTGCAGATGAGTCCACCACTATGCTCCTCAGCTTCCCCACCAGCACTCCCTCTAATGGCCCGCACCCTCAGCAATCGCATGGTGTTGCCTTGACCAATATTCGTGTCGCTGCCGACCCCGATGAGGCGGGATCTGCTGGTCCCTCCATCCGTATCCAGGGAACCAAGGGTGAGATTCAGGTCTTTGGCCCACCGTTCCGCCCAGTGCGGTTCCGTGTCATCCCCAAGAAGGGCCTGGGTGAGATTCGTGATGTTGAAAGCTCGTTCCCGGGTAAGGGTCACGGTATGTACTGGGAAGCTGATGAGGTTGCTCGGTGCCTTCGAGATGGCAAGCTCGAGAGTGAGGGCTTGCCATGGGAGGAAAGCATCGTGATTATGGAGGTCATGGACGAAGTGCGAAAGCAGGGCGGTTTGACTTATCCTCAGAAGATTGAGTCGACGGAGTACCCTTTGCAGCTATAAAGAGGACAAAGGGAATTGTCAATAAGGCGAAGGGATAAATAGACAAGTCCACACCCACTATAGCATGAAGGACTACTGCTACACGAGATCAGGTTGAAAATTCAATGCATGCCTTGAGTGTATTTGGTACTCTAAAGGTACACACATACTACTGTACATGGCGTTCAGGGGACAAGCCCAGGTCTATATGTGGACAATAACGCCAGTCATGCCTCCGAAGTGCCCCCAATTAAGAAAAACAACATAGGAAAACGGAAGGCATCGCAGAACCTGGACTGGTAAAGTTGTCCCAAATCACCCCCCCCAAATCCCTTTTTAGATGCAATCACACGTACAATTCCTTACTGGCGGAAGACACCGAGGATGCTCTTCCAGACCTGACCAGGCTCCTGGCTGGCGTCAATGCCACGCCAGATACCGGTCTTCTTGTAGTAGTCAACAACCGGGGTGGTCTGGGCGTGGTAGGTAGCCAGACGCTTGGTCAGGGTGTCGGCGTTGTCATCGGAGCGCTGGATGAGCGGCTCTCCGGAGACATCGTCCTTCATGTCAGCCTTGGGCGGGTTGAAGATCTTGTGGTACGAACGGCCGGAGGCAGGGTGGACGAGACGACCGGTGATACGAGCCACCAGCAGGGAGTCGTCAATCTGCAGCTCAACGGCGTGCTGGAGCTTCTGCTCGCGAGCGAGGAGCATCTCATCAAGGCGCTCAGCCTGGGCGACGGTACGGGGGAAGCCGTCCAGAATGAAGCTGTTGAAACACGCGTGTTAATGTTGACCGGGATTGCGGAAGGGGACGGGAACAGAGGAATTTCCCTAATAAGAAGGAATTGAGATGTACGCACCCGTTCTTGCACTCTGTGTTGTTGTCAAGCTCGCTCTTGATCATGTTGACCATGATCTCGTCGCTGACGAGACCACCCTGGTCCATGATCTTCTTGGCCTCCTTTCCGAGGTCGGTCTTCTTCGCGACCTGGGAGCGGAGCATGTCTCCGGTGGCCTATTTAGGACATGGGTCAGCGATTGAGCTCATGCTGTGCCCAGACAAACTCCAACGACTTACCAGGTGGCACGCGCAGTACTTCTCCTTGAGGTTGGGGGCCTGAGTACCCTTGCCTGGAAACGGTTAATATCGCGCTGACCATCCATCAGTGATTCAATTCGCATACCTGCACCAGGAGGACCCATCAGAATGATGCGCATCTGCTCAGCGACGGACTTGGGCTTTCCGCCATTGGCGAGACGGCCCTCGAGCTCGGACACCTTAGCCTCCAACTGGTTAATGGTGTTCTTCAGGCCGGTAACGGCCTCTTCGGTGATGGGAGCCATTGTAGATTAGAGAGGAGAGGGTGATGGATGGAAGAGAAAGACGGGAAACCGGAGAAATGGGGAAAGGGAAGAATCCGAGAACCTAGCGCCCGAGGTTCGGAGCACGGGCTAGGGACTTGCGAACTGTAGTATACTCATATTACTTCTTTCACCTTAGCAACCGACAACTTTGAATAGAGGATGGATTGTTATTAGTGTATTCATTTGCTGAATTATCTATACACATCTGACAGCAACTACTATTTTTCTATATCAATGTTTATACGCATCTCTGCTTGTATACTCTCCCCAATAGTTGGCAACTCTAGCCACACTGCTTACTAACACACCAGCCTCACTGCTTGTGGCGGAGAGCTCAGCATCTGGTGCATCATCGCTCTCCATCCATTCTCGTCTCACGTTGATCTGCTATTTTCATTGGTTTTGATTTGACATTCAAGCTGTAACTGTATCTACAGCTTCGTGTTCTTCCCTCTATACCATCTTTCTTTCACCATGCCTGCCACAACGGCGGACACGCTATCCCTCGTCAACCGCTCTGTGACGGTTGCCCCGTTAGTCCTCCTCTCCGTCGCAGATCACTATGGACGCACAGCAAAGGGAACCCGGAAGCGTGTTGTAGGTGTACTACTGGGTGAGAACTCGGGTGATAATGTCCGGGTATCAAACAGTTTCGCCGGTGAGTGCAAGCTTCAATCACACTCGAAAGAGATTCACTAACGTGTCTGGCCGGTGTTCTAGTTCCATTCGAGGAAGATGAGAAGGACCCATCAGTCTGGTTCTTGGACCACAATTTCGTCGAGTCGATGAGGGACATGTTCAAGAAGATCAATGCTCGCGAGAAGCTAGTCGGCTGGTACCACTCAGGACCCAAGCTACGTGCTTCGGATCTGGAGATCAACGAGCTCTTCAAGAAGTACACGCCCAACCCCTTGCTCGTCATTGTCGACGTACAACCGAAAGAAGTCGGTGTGCCTACAGATGCCTACTTTGCCGTGGATGAGATTAAGGATGTGAGTGTTATTGAACGCCCGCGCGCACTGGCCCGGAGAACTAACCAGCGTCTCTCGCAGGATGGAACTACAACCTCTCGAACATTCGTGCACACCCCGTCGATAATCGAGGCCGAAGAAGCAGAGGAGATTGGTGTGGAGCACCTCCTCCGAGACATCAGAGACGTCGCAGTCGGCACACTTTCCACTCGTATCACGTCGCAGCTGCAGTCCCTGCAAGGATTGCACCTGCGGCTACGCGATATCGGGCAATACCTCCAGAAAGTTCTCGACAAAGAACTGCCCGTCAACCATGCCATTCTGGGTAACCTCCAGGATGTCTTCAACCTCCTTCCCAATCTGTCCACTCCCCCTGCGACTCAGCGGATCAGTGGCCAGGAGCCACAGATCGAGAACAGCGAGTTAGCACGGGCCATGAGTGTCAAGACCAACGACCAATTGATGGCCATCTACATCAGTAGCTTGATCCGTGCCATCACCGCCTTCCACGACTTAATCGAGAACAAGATCCAAAACCGACAGCAGCAGGAGGAGAGTGACAACAAGCGGGACCAAGAGGCCAATGGTGACAAGGATGTGAAGAAGGCCGGGTCCTCAAATGACGAAGAGGAGCAGGAGAGTGACAAGAACAAGAAGAAGAACTAAGGGCTCTTTAATTTATCCTCGACAGCCTGGTCGATCGAGTGAATAATATGACATTTAGACTCCTATTTTTGCAAGTAATCTTCGTACCGATGGGGTATAGGGAGTAAAGTCTGATCAGAGTATGGTATACTTGGCAGAGTCCCAGTATTGGGATGTTTGCTGTTGTGTACGGAGTACTCCATGAATACTCGTAGATCCTCGTACCAGAACGTTTGTGTGCCTCTTTTGCGTTATCGAGTTTCCCCACAACCCTCCATTGGTGTGCAAACAGAGGCCCCCGAGCCCAGTTCGCTGCAGGTTTGTCTGCGAGTGCGCTCGTGTTGACTGCGAGATCTCGGGCCTCCCAATGCAGCCAGTGTTGGGAGGGTCCACAGCGGGCAAGAGATCAACAAGATCGGTAATTCAGTTGTCCAGGTACTCCGTACTCTGTAGGTGATGTGGGAGACTGCAGGTAGTGTCTCGATCTGCTTGGATGGTGTGACATCTTTCACCCACCCCATCCCGCACACCAGCCAGCCAGCTCCTCCTTGGAGATGAGGGTACCGTTCTCATTCCCGTTGCCAAACAGATCGGGACAGCGTGCATGCAGCACACAAGCTAGAATGTGTTTGCAGACCGGGGGCTGGGCTGTGCGAGCCAAGGTCCCGCCAAATGGGTAGGGAATATCCGGAGGATTTCTCATGGCGGTCTGGACATCCCGGTATGCAGCGAGGGCGAATGTCGGACAGCTACAATTCCATGCCTGTAGTCGAACCTCGTATCTGTCTGATGAGGCCGTGGAGGTGACCAGAAACAGCTCGACAGAGTCACAGTGGACAGAGTGGACCAGTTTGCGGTCGAGAATGTCCAAGGCTGGAAGAAAGTCATTTGGAAATAGACAGTGGAAGGTTAACATGAGAGGTTTAGGATCAGAAGGTAATTCCAGAATTAAACGATCAATAAACTCCATTTTGCAGAAAAACAGGTTGAAAAGAAGAATGAGAAAAAAGAACATCAATGCCATCTATTTAGCCCGCCTTGGAGCTTCGTTACGCACCACCGGCACCACCACCACCGGCACCACCACCCCCATCACCACCTCCTCCATCACCACCACCAACATCAGCTCCAGCGCCAGCTCCAGCACCACCACCACCTCCAGCACCACCATCAGCATCACCACCTCCCCCGTCAGCACCACCTCCAGCACCACCACCATCACCTCCGGCTACCTTCGTGCCCTTCTTCCCCTTCTTCCCCTTCCTCCCCTTTCTCGCCCTGCTTGCTTTGGTTGCATTGTCAATGGCTTTCGTCTTGGCCACCCTGTCCGCGCCTCTTCTAGGAGGAACTTGCAGGACCTTGTTTTGACCCAGTCCTTTCATCGTCAGATCGAGAGGCCTCGAACCATTAGGTGTGGTCAGGGTAACTCGAAGAAGGCCATGATGCTTCAAGCCCTGGATGATGCTTGCTTTTTTAGGCGCGGCAACTGCATCTGCATCTGCATTGGCGCCGTCATCTCCTCCCTCTGCTCCCTTTTCACCTCCTTCGGCGTCTTCGTATTCCTGAAGTAGCTTCTCCAGTTCGTCTGCGTCATTCTTCTGCCTCTTTGCATCCCTCGAATCTGCCCATGTGTCCCATTCTAACTTTCTCTTTGCGGCACCATCATCCCAGTCCTTGCTAAGCTGGGCTCGCTGATACTCAAAGAGCTTGCCGATGTATTCCATCATTTTTTCACCCTCCGCGGAACCGGAAAATGGCTGAGGTTTCTCCACGGGAGTCGCCTGGACGGTCGCGGTCATGTTGTTCAGGAGATCGGTCTCATTGAGAGGCTTCCGTCGGAATGTGAAACCGTAGGCATCTCCGCAGAATGACATCGTTTCGGCCATCTGCTCTCCGGTCATACTGACAGGCTTGCTGGCGTCGTCCAAATGAGTCCATCCCCCGTCCTTGCCTTTTACAAGAATGGTGTAATGGCCTCCCAGATCGAATTCAAACATGGCGTGATGCAAGATGACCGAGGTTAGCTCATATTCAACGTCGACCTTGAGTGAGTTGTATTTCTTGTCAAGCGTGAAATCTTGGAGCTTAATGGGATACTCGGTCTTTTTCCCTGGTCCTTCTTTGGTAAATCCCAGACGCTCCATGTGCACAAACAATATTTCTGGGGGGTTTGTGATCACCTCTCGAGAGGATTGATCACCTTTGCATAACGCGCATGCTAGCATGGATGTGTATGGCTGGCTTTTCACCGTGAGTGTGTCCTCAACGGTACGAGCCTTGGGATTCGCTTCGGAGCTCACTCGAAGACTGGTCGAATTAGTCCGCTGGGTGATTGTGGGATTACCGCACACTTTACACTGCGTGTGTTCAGTCGTCTCAAACCCAAATATCTCCTGGAGATCGGGTCGGCTTCGGCTTGGTCAGTTAAGGTCTCACTAGTCAGGGAACGGGAACCTACATCATCGGAAGCGTGTCGTCCATGAGTTGCTTACACACCGATTCTCGATACTCGGATGCATCTTCTTGTTGCAAGTTCGCTTCAGCTACATCTTTTCCCTTCCACCCTCGGAACAGTTGGTCGGTAAGAGCAGTGAACGCCTTGACAGTGCCGGCCCCGTCGGCGCCCCAGTAGCTGGTGGATAGATCGTGGAAGAGGCAGACCTTACAGGGTCCTCCATCCTCACCCATAATGCAGATATTGTTTTTGGGTGCATGGTGATTCTTGTACCAGTTCAACCAATTCAGGAACACCGGGGCATGCAAAAGGGCTTGAATGGCAGCGTTGCGGTAGCAGAACAATCCCTCGTTGACAAACCCTATGGTCGTCTTTGCGGGGATGGTCGCACCCCATTCTTTGGGGACGGATGACTATGGCCTGTTAGGGCATGTACTTGACAATATGGATTGAAGACTCACTCTGCCCATGTTCAGCTGGTCACTGGCGTATATTGGTTTTGTATTTTGGACTCTCTAAGCTGTATACTGAAATCTACACCCTCGAGGACCTCACAAGGCCCATATATAGACGCAAATGATCATGCCCTCAAAGAAAATACCGAGTGCACGACGAGCCTGGGGATTTCTTTGAGCGTTGAGCCCTTCTCGAAGAATGCTTGGTCCGTCGAGTGGCCATTCTTTGAACGTCTTCCGGCTCTTTCATCGTTCCAGTTTCAAATCTTCCCACCTTCTTTTGAACTGGAATCTGACTTCGATCGGATCAAAGAGATTTGGCTTTGATGCAAAAGGGTCTTCGAAAGGTCACTTCTTTCCAGATCTAAAATTAATCCTGACTGAAAGAAACTCGTGCGAACAAGACACCAGATGCCGGGGAGGGGATTGCCAGGAGCAAGCAAGGACCAGCGACCAGCGACCAGCGACCAGCGACCAGCGACCAGCGACCAGCGACCAGCGGCCAAGGACCAACGACCAACGACTCCATCTTGGGCATCCACGTCGAGACCACGACCTGACCTCCCACGGCCCAGTGGAACCTCGAGTAAGCCGATGCTGCCCAGGCTGCGACTCACCAAGCGGGGGGCCAGGGTCACGACGGTTGCGATCGTACCATATCGACAGCGAGGCTAGACAATCATTCACTTGTTTGGGCAGGAGTTAAGAGGGCGAGATCGACGGGAGCATCGAGGCGAGACCTTCACCTAATCTCCATCCTCGTATATAATCTTGAGGGAACCGGTTCCCTAGGTGTTTCAGATGAAAGTGGAGCGACGCAATGAGAATCCCCGGGACGGTGATTGGTCCAAGGCCCTCTTGACTGTGCAATAGATCCGGCCGAAAGCTGTCTCGACTTTGCTTCGGGCCTCGCTGCTCTCTATACATCCACTTGCCCAAAGGTACCGGAACTCGGGAAGGGCCCTCGTACCTTGTCCCTTGTCGACTCTTTCGATGGAGCTGTGACTCGTACCGGCCTATGGAGTACAAGTATACTCCGTACACCGTACACAGGACTTGTCACTTGTCACCCGTACTCCGTGGTAGCTCTGATCCACAGCACTGCCCAAACCGTTCCCAACGCCACCTTCAGCTGAGGGTGATCAAAATGATCTAAGTGGAACCCTAATCCCCTCCCTAGTCATCTTGGACGATGTCTCGTCAGTGTGTACTCCGTCGTGGCTAATCAGAGGTTAGTCGCTGTCTAGTCATGCGTAGTGTATGTAGCTAGTCGGTCTCTACAGGATGCCTCTAGTGGTAGCCACATGTCCAGTCACTCCTCTGGGTCCAGGGGCTCCAATAAGATTGCGGAGCTTCTCGAGAATAATGAGATGTATAATGAGATTGCCCAAAAAGAAAAAGGCTCCAAGGGAATTAAAGAGAAGGGAATAATCAGCGAAACAGATGCTCCGAAGGCAGAGAAAAAACGGGTCCAAACGGGTACGTGTCGGACATTTGGACGATCGTACAATAAATAGACGAATCCGCTCGGTCACTTCCACTTCAGTCGCTAGTCGCGATGATCCAACGTTTGCCCCTCCAGCCGCCCCCCACACCGTTATTTCTTCACATCTTAGCTCTTACAGCTTCTGGGCCTCTTAGACGTGTCCGGTCAGTATCTCACGAGGCGGTGACGCGACGCTACCTGATCGCCACTTCGGACATGACCCGGTGCTGCGCGTCTGTGCTCGTCAAGAATGGGTAGCGATCGTCTGTGAAGCATCCACTGGGTGAAGGTGATAGATAGAAAAACGAGTACTCCATACACTACAGAGGCCGAAAAAGAAAAAGAAAAAAAAGCGTGAGAAACAGGGAGATAGGGATCGGGAGTCCGTGACGGAAATGATGACAGGAAGAGGGTTAGCTTAGCTTGGGCCAAGCGGATGTTTCAGACTGTCGTGATCGTCAAGCCGGCGTTATTCGGGAAATGAGGGGGGAGAAGGAGGAGAGGAGAACAGAGCAGAGGGTTACTTAGAGAGAGAGAGAGAGTCGAGTACGGAGTCAAAGAGAAGTAGATATAAACGAAAAGAACTCGTGTTCCCTCGTCCAGCTGTTCGGGTCCAACGGTCTCGCATATGGATTATGTCAGCACCCCACTAGTCCCTTACTCTACAAACTAGTATATTAAGTATTCAGTATTATATATTCAGTATTCAGTATTCAGTATTCAGTATTCAGTATTCAGTATTAAATATTAAATACTACAGAATGAATACAGAGTAGAATTAAACAGGATACTCTTGACGCGTACCGAGCCCCGTAGTTCAAGATGAGACCCAACTCTGACACGTTAATCTTAATTCATGAACCGAGAATTCTAGACCGGCCAGATCAACGGGTCCAATTTAACAGGGGTCTGGATGTCAGGAACTGGTTGCTGGAGAGAAAAAATTGACGAAAAAATGGATGAAATAAAATGAAATCCAAATCTAACCATGGTTCTACAACGTCAAGCTTATATTTGGCTCCAGGAACAAGTCCAGAACAGTAGGAACCAGGTATGATTCATGAACTAGAATCACTGCAGACGGAGTAGTCGACTGGAACACCCGGACCCACCAGCATATACCGTCGAGAAATGAGGGGCAGAAATTCCCCGACTGGTTGAAAAGCCGAAGCTTGAACTGCCAGAGAATCCAAACCGTTAGGATCTGGATGCGCAACGGCACGGCATTAGCGTCTGGGCCGGCGAAGACCGCTCATTTCGCCCAAGGGTGATGCGGGTCTCCGTTTTAATTTGATATGGTAATTTTGGTATTGCCCCTCTTGCTCTTTGATGGAGGATAGTAGAATAATAGAATAATTAGTAGAGTAGAGAAGAAGAGTAGAATAGTAGAGTATAGTTCTATAGTAGAACTACTACTACTACTACTACTACTACTACTACTACTACTACTACTACTACTACTACTACTACTACTTAGTACTATCTCCTACTTCAGTACTAATAACCACAATCTAATATTCTCCATATAATACTAATACAAAACTAATATACTAAAGTAAACACTGCAGACTGCAGACCGATCAAACAATTAAAACCGGAGATTTTCCATACGTAACAAGCAGGTAAGAGGAGGTAACAGCAGGTAACAGCAAGTAATCTGCCAACACGGTCTAAGACTCTTTTTTAATTCTTTTTCCCATGCCTTATGGATCACCTGTCACTTGCTTGATCCCTGTTTCAAAGCGTTCTGGACTTGAACTGCCTCTGCTCTTTTCCCTTTTAGCTTCCACGGTTCCCGGCAACCCACTAGAGACCTTCGAATCCTGACCTCATTGCTGGCTTTCCCTTGACTTCGTTCTTTTGTCTTATATTTGACGATTATCGTGGTTTCATCTGTTCGAATTCGAACTCGACCTCTCTCTCTCTCTCGGGACTCTGTTTTATTCGCTTCTTTCCTGGATCAGAAAGAACAAACGGTCACGAGCACTGCGTCGGACCTGTGTCTTTAACTCTCCTTCCCTTTCTTGGCTCTTCCCCCGTTGCGACTTGACAGGTTCAATCCGCGCATATGATTGCGTTACAAAATCGGCCTATATTGCCTCCTGCCAAAGTGGATATCTCACTACTACTCAAGCCCCAAGATGAGGAAGAAGCCCCCAGCTCCGGGTATCCCCCCCAGATCCGTCGGGCCACCTCTGGGCTCCATGGGCATGATGATGCCAGGCCCCGCCGCCATGGCCGCCATGACCATGCCACCACTGTCCAAGGCCGGCTCCACGGGTGCCCCCAAGCGTCTCCAACCGTCACATACCTCCGAATCACCCGCCAAGAAGCAATCCAAGTGGTCCCCAGATGAGGATTCTCTGATCATCGAACTACGCGGGAGTGGGATGAAGTGGGAGGATATCAGCAAACGACTCCCAGGACGCAGTGCCATCAGTTGTCGCCTTCATTATCAGAACTACCTGGAACGTCGAAGTGAATGGGATGAGGATAAGAAGAACAAACTCGCCCGGTTATACGAAAGGTAGGCTAAAAGAAACCATTGAGCCTTCGAGGTGAAGTATGTATTCGCTAACCCCGACCTTTTTCCCAACTTGATAGATTCAAAGCCGAAATGTGGTCCAAAGTAGCGGAAGAAATGGCCATTCCATGGCGTGCAGCAGAGGCCATGCACTGGCAGCTGGGAGAGCAAGAGATGGCCCGCCGTGCGGGCGTCGTCCCCTTCTCCCTCTCCAGTGCGGCCATCGATCCCCCGACCACCACCAGAACCCGTCGTGCCAGCACCTCTCTCTCCCGGCCGAGAAAAGGGTCTCATTCACGCGCAATCCCGGGTCACATCCCAGGCTACCCACCGCAGCTTCCCTCTCTGGAAGAGCTCACTGCAGGGGTGCCCGCATACGCACCCCCTCCCCCGAGGGACTTTTATGGACGACCCGACATGGGCATTCCCCCACCGGGTCTCATGGGACCTCACTTGGGCATGCCCCCGCGGACTATGCCTTGAGACGAAATGACGATGACGCTTAAACGTCTTTCTTTGAGTCGCGACTTTTTTTCCTGTTTTTTCTTCCCCTCTTGTGTTGTTTTCTTTTCTTTTCTTTTCTCTTTTCCTCGTTTTTCGTCCGTCTACTTCACGTCGCGGACCGTTTCTTTGTTTTTCTCTTTGTGTTTTTTTTCCCACTGTTTTTCTTTTGTGGTTACGAATTGCATAGCGTCGGTTGGAGGTATATCGTGATTTGTGGGGGGACAAAGAATCGTATAGATGATTTCTGCCCCTCGGTGTTTGAGTTCTTCTTGTCTGTTTGCAGAACTTTTGGCCGGACCAATGCAAATGGATCTTTCTCCATGACTCCGAGGCTGGTTCTCGGAGCACATGCGTTTCAAGCCTGACCCGTCTGGGGTGTCGCGATCGCCCACCAGTTATCCTTCTCGTACCCGGACTCCAGCACTCGACCGCCCGCGTTCTCAATGTCCCGCTCCAGCTCCCCTTCCTCATAGAGGTGGTAGTAGCGGTGGAAGGTCTGGGGTTGGTCTCCCTTGCGCACCCAGGGGACCATCCGATCCTGTTCATCGCCCTTGTCCCAGCCTCGGCGGCTGTTCTTTTGCTCGAGCGCCCAGGCGTAGACCAGGACCTTGCCCCCCTCGTGCGTCGGTGAAGCCGGCTTCACTGTGCGCAGGATCTCGGCCACGGCTTGAATTCGCCGAGCCGGAGTGGACAGATGGTGCACCACCGCAATGGAAATGGCAAAATCAAATCTTGCGTCCTGGTGCGGGAGCTCTAGAATATCGGCCACTACGGTCGAATGCGGCTGGTGCTGCAGGGCAATCCGAGCCAGGTTTTCAGATCTGACACCGCGTCAACCATGGACTCGTCAGGGACCTGGGGGTGAGGGAACAGGGCGTCTCCGAGATAGTAGACACCATAGAAAATCCCCAAAAATTCCACATCATTCTTAAACATACCTATCTGAAGCAACGATAAAGACATCTCGATTGACCATTAAATTCTTGCCGTTCCCACAGCCTACGTCTAATCCCACGGCACCGGGCGATAATTCCGTGAGGAAACGCTCGACTATCGGCCAAGGCTGAAACAGTGGGTTAGCTGGCCGTTACGAGGGGGCAAGGTGCTGCCGGGGCGAAACACACCTTGTATCGGGTCGCGGAGAAATGCTGGGCAATCTGCTGGTACACCTCGTGCACATTCTCCTGCTCATAGGCTTCGCCATTCTGTTGAGAAGCCATGATGACCGGTGGGAGTGAGAGGCGAAGAAGTTGAAAAGAAATGAGAAGTTGATATCACGTGTCTTCGGGTATTAGCTTAGCGATGGCCAACTACTCTCTACTTTTGTATCTCTTCCATATTCCCATATTCCCATACTCCCATACTCCCATACTTCCATACTCTTATATTGGCCACTACATACACAGGGATTGGAGTTGCTAGAATGAAAAGAAGTCAAGGAGACCCAAATTGGACGAAGGCATTGAAAGACAAAAAGAGGAAATGAAGGGAATCCCAAGATTGATGTATTTACAGTATATTACCAGATTTCCATTCCTCCCAAGGCAAAAGGCAAGGATATAGTCCAAATCACAGCAGTCGTACAAACAACAAACGAACCCGTTCCTCGTGCGACTGTCCAACGTTCGATTCGATTCTCAACAGCGCCTGTTCATGGTGCTGACTAAGCATCGAGGGGATTCCTTTTTCTGTCGAGCCAAACAACCAGAACAGATCAATTGTAAGTACATCCTGACCGGTGACTCTACAATGGATGTATCTCGCTCCTTGAGAGAGGAGCAGAAGAATCAACATGCATATCCGCCGTGAAGAGCTTTGATCATCAGTCCTGACCCCTCTTCATAGGACCTGAACCATGGCGTTTCAACCCACCCCCATGGATGTGTCCGTCATAATCACCAATGCGGCGTTGGCCAAATCGGGGTCCTCGGAGCCCAGGTTCTTGACTGAGCGCCGTATCACCCCAACCTGGACGATCATGCAGGTCAAGGGGAAGTTGGAGACCATGACTGGTATCCCGCCGGGATGTCAGCGCTTACGGGTGAAGGTTCCCGGTCGACCTGATCAATGGGCTGATGGAGATGATCGTTTGATCGGGGACTATGGGTTGGTTAAGGGGACGGAAATTGAGGTTGGTTCTTCTATCCTGCCCGTCAATCTTGCCTTTCTGTGCCGCTTCGATCTGTACCATTGGGAGATGTTTTGATTCGAGTCAAGAGGCGAAGCAGAGGCAAATGGCCAATATTTATCGGCAAAGGTCTCACTAGAATCCAAAACTCATTGACATTGCCAGGTCAACGACAGCCGTCCGCCCACCATGCGGGCCAATTTCACCGACTTGTCCAATGTCGAGAAATACGAGTTGCCCGCTGATGCGTACGAAGCTCGCTCAGACTCCGTTCTGGCCTGGAAAAAGAACCAGAAATTAGGTCGATTCGACCCAAACGCCTTGTCACCTGAGGAGTCGTTGCGCCATCAGGTTGAGAAAGACCAGACTGAAATTCAGAATCGAGGTTCGTAGAGGCACGTATCCTGAATACATTAAATGTGATCTAATGAGAACCCCAAAATCAGATATCGCTGTTTCCAAGAGAGCGATTGTCTTGCCTTCGTCTCCACCACACATTCGTCGTGGTACGATTCGCTTCGTGGGACCCGTTCCCAAGATCCCAGTCACGGGTCCGGGTCGTGAGCTGCAACAGAGTCCGGATCTACCAACCGAGCTTCAACCGATCTGGGTTGGAATCGAGCTCGACGAGCCGATGGGAAAAAATGATGGTAGCATAGGTGGCCAGCGCTACTTTGAATGCCTAAGCAACAAAGGTGTCTTTGTGAAGCCTGAAAAGGTTGAGGTGGGAGAATTCCCACCATTGGGTCTAGACGACGAGTTGGACGATTTGATGGAAGAGATCTGATGAGCTTATTATAACAAATAGTTATGTATGCTTAGACGAATTGATACATGGTCGACATATTGCAATTGGTTTGCGGCCCTCGGTCCCAGTCCCATTTGCTCTTCCATCACGAATTACCTCCAAAAACAAAAACATCGCGGAGAGTACATGGGCGAGGAACGCCAATATTCCCCAGGTAATAGTGTGAAAGCAGTCGCTTAAGAACATATAACAAAGGAACACATAAAAACAAGCGAAAGGGGAAACCGACAAAGAAATGAAACAGGCAGAACGCCCGACAAGTAAGATCAGAGGTCCAGGGTATCCACGTAAAGAGAAACAGGTCATGGCGCATTGTCAATGACAAACAGAAAGACAGCAGTGGGCGAAGCCAACTATTTTCCAGCCTTCTTCTGCTTGCCCTTTGGACGGCCCTTGGCTTTCTTCACCGGAGCGGGTGCAGGAGCAGGAGCAGGTTCGGCCTCGACGTCAGTCTCGGGGCTACCCCCGCGGGACACCGCCGACGTTTCGTTGTCATCAAGTTCGCCTTGAGTGTCAGTCCCTTCTTCACCTTCTGTCTCGTCAGGAACACAGCCTTGGGTGAAGAACAGTCGTGCCTCTTTGCGATGGGGGTTCGCAAAGCTATAGTAATTGCCTGGAAGGTTTTGTCAGTACATTAGGTGTAAGCCATCGAAAGAGAATTTGAATCTTACCTCGTGGGATTTGGAAGACACATCCCTTGCCAGCACTGAATTGAACGCCGGAGATGTCGACCTGAACACGTCCGTGGCAGACATAGAACACCATGTGCATTTTCTTCGAGTTTTTGGGTTTCTTCACACCGTCTGCAGGGAGTTCAACCACCCCAGACCCGATGAACGAAGAGCTGAGAAGCTTTGCAAATCTGAAGGTCGAGCCTTTGACCTCTCTGGTCTCGATGCCAGAGGGGGCATATGCAATATCTGTGGACTCGAAATTAGCAAAACAGCCAACGACGGGATAACAAGGGGGGCTGTAAATACCTAAGACCTCTTCTTCCTTCGAGCTAGCCTGCGTCCTACTATCCCACTTGAGGGTGTAGCCGTGAAGCACACCACCCTCTTTTTCCCACAGATCGACTTCGTCATCTTCTTCGTCGGATGATTCGTCTTTTCGCTTCTTGGACTTGGACTTGGACTTTTGAGACGAACGCTTTCCTTTCTTTTTCTTGTCGTTTTCCTGCTCTTCTGTACGGATGATCTCCTTGATGGTGGAGACTGGGTATCGATGGCCTTCGGCAGCTTCCCCATCACCAAACACGCAGCGTTCGTTACGCCAGTACGCCAGTGGCCGCACGGAAACTCGGCCCGATCGAGTGTGAGTCGCGCTGCTGTCAGTGGGGTTTTCGCGCTTGAGGATGTAAAGACTTCGGCCTTTCAGCGGGCCTGTGCGGTTGGCATAGTCATTCACAACTCTATCCAACTCCGGCTCTAAAGGCTCACGCTCGGGTGGAGGTGCGGTAGCAGAGCTCTTCTGCTTTTTGGCTGGTCGTGGATTTGGATCTTCTTCGGTGTTCTTTGCTGCGGACTTGGGAGGGCGCCCACGTCGCCCAGTCGATTTCGGCTGAGGTTGTTCTGTATCAGCGCTTTTGGCCGGCTTGGCCGGTTTGCTATTCTTTGCCGACTTGGGGTTGACAGCGGCCTTCGCACGTGGCGGGGATTCTGCTGGGGGTGGGCTGTCCTCGTGCTCGTGTTGATCTGGCTCCGAATCCTCGGAAAGTTCCGCAGTTGGCAGTGGATCTTCGTCGATTAAGCTGTTGCCAAAGTTACTTTGCACCTGCGCAAACGCATTCTCGTCGCCCTCGTCATCAGAGAAGTCTGGCAATGTAGGCTCGGATTCTCCAGTGAGCTGTGCTTTGGTCGGTCTTTGTCGTGCGCCATTCTGTTGATTCGAGCGGCCCACATTGACGGAGCGCGCAGAAAGAGGAGAGGGATCTAGATGCGACTCGTTCTGCCCTTTGCCATCTGACGGACTAGACGATTGGAGATCTTCGGAGTCTGGAGTAGATTGTAGAGCAGGAGTCCTCCGCGGGGAACCACCGAGCCCAGTCTTCATTGGCGATCGTGTCGCGGATGGCGGGAGGAAAGAAGAACGCGAGCCATTGGAGCCTTTGAGGAAGTCCATGGGACCCGGCGCATTGCCTTTAGAGTAGCGAATCAGTATGCATTTAGTGCAAAGTCCAGGAGAATAGTTGGCGCACCTTCTTCTAAAGACATGCCGTCTGAGCCAATTGAAGAGTCGTTCTCATCTTCAAAGCCGTCAAATTTCGTGGGCGACTTTTCAGGAGACGAGAAGAGGCCATCCACCTCTTCCATTCCATGTTCATCGCGCCGGCCCTCCTTCAAAGAAATTCCTGTGCGTCTAGAAATCTCGCGTTAGTTCGCAAGCGCCTTCTGAAGCGACTAGGCAACTCACCTTCCTGTGGTTCCCACATTGGAGTAGTCTTGTTCGCGGGGTTTTACGGGTACCCCTCGTGCCATGTTGAAATGCAAAAGTCAATAAGCGCAGGAATATAGCGCAATGGAAGGGACAAAAAAGGGCAGAGGTAAGGTGGAGGGAGTGATGCGATGGAATTTGGGTGGGTAAAGACGCGCCCCGCTAATCCCGAACAGTCGACGCGTTGCATACCGGAATGATCTTCTTTTCTTTTCTGTTCCTTTTGGATATCTTCACTCTTTTTTGTGAACCTCGATTGATTCCAGTCAAACCCACAATGACAGACCTCCCTTCAGAAGACTCTACTTTCATTCCTCCAAGTGTCATCCCCGATCATCTTTTCACCGGCGAGTCTTACGCGTACTACACACCATGCCCCAACGCGATCACACCCAAGGAGACATCGCCTACAGTCGGCGAGACAGCTGAAACTACACCGTGCGTACTGGGCGTAGACGAAGCTGGCCGTGGTCCTGTCCTAGGGCCAATGGTTTACGGTGTATTCTACCTTCCGCTGGACCTCCACCACTCGCTCTTGACCGAGGAACACAGCTTTGACGACAGTAAGGTCCTTACTCCTGCTGTGCGCGCAAATCTTATGCGCCTGCTGAATACCCCGGGAAACAACTTGCATGAATCCTGTGGCTATGCGATCAAATCACTCTCGGCGCGCGACATATCTTCCGGGATGTTGAGATCCCCAACGGCGGTCTATAACTTGAATGCCCAGGCAATGGATGCAACGATAGAGCTTATCCGAGGCGTCGTGGAGGAGCGTGGGGTGGATGTTCGAGAAGTGTACATCGACACAATCGGCAACCCTATCACGTACCAACAAAAGCTGGAGAAGATCTTCCCTTCTCTTAAGATCACGGTGGCCAAGAAAGCCGACTCTTTATATCCCTGTGTCAGTGCTGCCAGTGTGGCAGCCAAGGTGACCCGTGACGTTGCACTGGAGCTTATGTACGAGACTATCACCCGGCTTGAGCAGTCTGACCCTGCCCTCGAGACTTGGGGCAGTGGGTACCCCTCGGATTCCAAATGTGTCGGCTGGCTTCGACGCAGCATGGACCCTGTCTTCGGATGGGGCAGCGAGTGTCGCTTCAGCTGGGGTACCGCAAGAGAGATGCTTGAAGTCAAAGGCGGTGCCCGAGTGGACTGGCCTGCGGATGAAGAAGAAGGAGCTTCACAGATGAACGATTTCCTACTCTCATCAGGAGCTGGGAAAGGCGCAAAGGCGGACGGGCTACGAGATTGGTACGGTCAAAGACCAGCGGAGATTCTCTGAGTACGGATTATGTTTGTAATAGTATGCGTGAAACTTGATAATACATTAATGATACCCCTTCAACCAGCTTCGAGGAGCAAAGCAAGAGTGCGAACAAAGGAAAAAAACAGAGAACAACCAGTTCTATCTGTGAGTCATGAGGTCAAAAGAGAAACAAAGAAACAAATCATAGAGGAAAATTGGGTATCATGGTCGAATGGAACTCGGGCACAGTGCAATTCACAGAGTGGCAGTCGAAAAGTAGAAGTTGTCCCAGAGGTATTCGTAATCATCAACGATGCTGCCCACCAAGTCCAACAATGGCTTGCCCTTCATCTTTCCAGTGATGCTATGGAGCCAGGACCTAAGTCGTAATTGTCAGTACTGTATCAGTCAAGTTGAGGGCGATCCAGGTCTTACTTTGTGATGTTTTCATAGAATGCACCGCGCATCATCCACCATCCCATTGACCATCCACGCTTCTTCAATTCCTCTCGCTCGAGTCCAGTGAGGCCCCGGAGACCACCCGCGACCCGCTCACGGAAATCACGCTTTGCAAGCTGGCGACATCCGTATTCCATGCCGAATCCAATGAGCCATGGACGCCAGCTTCGCTTGTCACCTCTCCATCGCTGCATCGCCATTGCGTAAATGACTGGCCGGAGAATATACAGCACTTCGGCCAACTGTCCTTGCCCGGTGGCCCGGTGAAGGAGCGCTTTGGGAGGTTTGATATCATCCGCTGTAAGCACCTTGGAGATGAGGTAGTTTGACACGTCGTTCACTTCAGGCAAAGATGGCAGGGATAATCCGGTACGAGGCATCGTCCAACTCATATCGGAAGATGGATCGCTCACAGGAGTGTCCATTCCATTCCAGTCGCTCTGGGGTTCCTCCTCTTCTGTGGTTCTGGGGTCCACCTCGCGTTCTGGAAGAGGCGGGCTGACAAGAGGTCGGGAGTTGGTCAACCGGAGAAGAAGCAGGCGGCAAATGGCTTTTGCGAATTCAATGAAGACAACCACGCGCCAACGGGTCTTCTGACCCCGTCGTCGTGCAGCCATCTCCCACAGAAGCTCAGTGTATTGAAGCATCTGAAGCGCAAGCGCTACCTTGCGATACAGTGAGGACCTAGAGGTCCAGTATTTGGTGTATCGGGAGTGAGGAGTGGGCGGCGGCCGAGGTACAGTCGATGGAAGTCGATCAACGACTTTGGAGACCAACGAGTCATGATATAGCGATAATAACTGGACGCCGGAGTGCACTGGAGGTGTCAGCGGATGCGCTCGAGGATAAGGCGTCGGCGCACTTACCACATTCTGAGGGTATTTCTGATTCACGGTATCGACCTGGAAGATGGTGTGAGTGGAACTCTCTGACAAACAACTAGTGCAGTGTCTTCGCTTACCTGGGATGATGTACGTCAGGGACCTCAGGGCAGACTCAACCTGGCCAACGGAGCTCGCATTCTTGGTGACAAAGTCCTCATAGATCGAAAGCCACCTTGAAGGCTTGAGGAGCGCCGACGGTATTGGATTTTGGATGTTTCGGACGGTTTCCATGTTTGCGCTCCAAAGCGACAGATGACGGGGGAGGTCGACGGAGGAGGTTATAGGGGGGCACGTGGACCCGTGTCTGCCAAGACAATCTGGGCCGAGGTCTGATGCTTTCGGATATACAAATGTTGTTGGTCTATATACTTCCAATTCCACTTCTGCTACTGACACTTGTAGATGCTGATCATATTTCATAGCCTGGAATACAGAAAACGGACGATATCTTCATGCGTAGTTCGGCTAAATGTATGCATCTGAAACCTCTACTCATCTGCAAAGATCCATAAACCCCCGGGGCGCATGGCTTCACGATATCGCTCCTCTACTTTCTCCCGTTCCAATTCTTTAGCGGCGGTTCGGTCGAGTTCCTCCTCCTGTGTACTGGGCATATCGGTTCGCCAAAAGCCAGGAGGCGACTGTGCACGCTGGTGAATATGTCTATGCCGTCCATACTGATTGGCCAGGGCTCTGGCTCTGGCTTCAATCAAAAGATCCCCACGTTCCTGGTCGCTCAGAGTATCAAGCAGCTGTGTGTTTTCCCCAACAAATTCGCGTAGCAGCTCGGCGTCTGCTTTCTCTTGTTCTGCCCCGGAATTGCCAGGAAGACCTCCAAGGCGGGCCATAGCCCGGAATCTATCTCCACAACATCCAGGTCGAGTACACCCCGAGATACACTTTCGGTCATCTTTCTTTCGAACAACCGAGCCATAGGCAAAGTCGAGTCCTTCATTTCTTGCGGGATTGATTTTGAAATGACCCAAGCCAAGAACGCTGAGAGGCATCGCCCGATATGGCTCATCGTCGGGGTCCACTTCGGGGGTCGCTTCGCGAGCTGCCATGGATCTTCCATGGTCATGCCCGGACATGACATCTGCCTGGATTGAGCTTGCACTAGGGCCATGTTTTGAGGGTTTCAAAGGTGACCTGGAGGGGGTGGAACGCTCAAGCAAGTCTTCTAGGCGTCTCTGAGCCATCGTGCCAGGGGGTTTTACCTCCGATGGCCCACGATTGGTACCGGGATTAGCTATCAGAGGTTTCCGCACCGGTGCCACGGTATCACCGTCTTCTGCCACGGAAGGTATTGCGCGCCGCTCTAGGTCCTCACTGCGTTTCGTGGAAGGCGTTCGGTGAGAGCCAGTGGACAGGCGCGTATTGTTGTCAACTGCTTGAAGAACAGAGGCCTGATCATATGTCTGTTGACCAGATCTGTCTCTACCAAAGTAGTGTGTCTGATCTGTGTTCTCCCCCAAGCTCTTGGAGTTTGCCACGTGGACATCCCGGTGAGGTTTTCGTTTCGTGGGCGTTTGTACCGTCTCTCCTATGTCATCAAGGTCTTGCGTACCCACAAATGGATGATCGCTGAAATTTGATGCAGTGCGGATTGGACTGGAGGACATGGCCTCCTTCTTGATATGCACAGGGTGCTTGGTCACAGCATTAAGTTGTTGACTCTGTGAGTGTAACTTTCGGGGAAGCGTGGGAGAAGGTGCATGTCTTCTTTCTTGTATTTTGTTGTTAGATATTGAGCGTATGGTGTCAGGGGACCCCAAAGTTTCCATCTGAGGTCCAGGGGAGCTAGATTGGGTAGAGGCCAGCTCTGAAGCTAGGGAATTGTTCGGCGGGTGATCATCTTCCATGGCGTTCTTTGTCGCCTCCGTCTCATTATGGCGGGCTTGTCTTGGTGACGGCTTGAAGGATTTGGCAGGCAGATCTGGGTCTTCATCCCTGGGCCGTTTCCCCAGCGATCTCCGAGTCGTTGGTGAGTCCATCTTGCCCGAGCCCTCAGGGCCAGGCCCTTGTACTTTACGGTATTTGACCTTTCGCCCGTTGAGAAGGAGCGTAAATTCATCTCGCTTCAGTTGCTGATCCCATTGCAGCAATTTCTCCTTGTGCCGTAATACCTGTCGTTTGAGACCACTCCAAGACTCGATGAAAGTCTGTAAATTGGTGTAGAGTGCAACGTATTTTTCCTCGAATCGTTTACGTGCCTTTTGGGTTTGAAGATGGCCATCTTCCATGGTGTCCCCCCACAGATTGATGGGGTCGAAATCAGCCTTGAGATTGGCATACTGCCTGGGAAGCTCAGGGTCTTGTGAATCCACTTCATGTTGCTTCAACTCGTTTTGAAGGAGGGTGATATCATGGCGAAGGTCATTGATCACGAGATCTGCTTTGCGCTGCGCCTCGATAGCTGCCGTGTCCCTGATCTCTGCCTCTTTGGCTTGTGTCTCAAGTTGTGATCTCAGCTGACAATACGCTTTGTCGAACGAGGCCTCACAGGCTTTGGACACAGCATCGTGGAGTTCCTGGATGACTTCCATAGCGATACCCTAGTATTTTGAGTACCATGACAATCTGTGAGAAAGGAGAGAAAAAGATTAAAGCAATTCAACCACCGCTGAACGTGAAGCAAACAGCCAAAGTAGCGACGCGACGACGCGCTACACGTGAGCTTATCGCGATAACGAGCCCCACCGAACGACCTCCAGAGCTCGGGGCTCACCGACTTGCCTCCGACTTGCCTCAACTTCGAAGTCGCTCACTCTTCCTCAGGCTGGGATGATTCATTTGACGGAATGTCAAAACGACGCAGAGACTGTGATTTGGATTCACCGAAGAAGCGTATTCGAGCTCATGAAGTGGGACCAGTTGATCGCTTGTCCAGTCTAAGCAATGAGTTGCTACTCCATATTCTATCCTTCTTGCCGGTCTCCTCCTTGAACATTTGTCAAAGGTAAATCTTCCTGGCTTTGTCTTGATGCAATCTGTGCTGAATTTGTGTGATGTAACCAGGCTATCCCGTCGCTTTCATACTCTGGGTGGGGACTCGGAGCTATGGAAAAGGCAATACTACTCCCAATGGGTGCGGCCCCGAGCCCGTCGCCTCGCAAACACCAAACGTACAGTGCTGCCGTCCAAGGTAGATTATTCTCCCAGGGTTGCGACATGGTTTGACCATGGGCACTTGGCGCATGAAGGCAATTGGAAAAGGCAGTACCGACTGCGACACAATTGGTCCCGAGGGCTATGTCGGGTTACTGAGGTTGAATTCCCCGAGCCGTCTAGTCCTCCCACCCTAGTCAGATTCTGTGCCGGCATTGTTTTCATGGCAGATTCGACAAGCGGGCTCAGAGCATGGACCGCCAAAGACCATGCTCGTTGTGTAGCAAGTGTTCCTTTGTCGGGCCCTTCGAACTTGCCTGAAAGCCCAACCGCTTTGGCTGTAAGCCAGGTTCACGGTCAGGTCGCGATCTCAGTCGGATTGGAGAACGGTCATCTCCGCCTGTTTTTGCTAGACCTCCAGACGTTTGAAGTGAAGCTGCAGTCCTCTTATGCTGCCTGCAATGGTGCCATAACCGCCATGGCTCTATCAACGCCATACCTATTGGTGGTATCCCAGTACAAACACTTGACATTGTACCGCCTGCCTTGTCACAACCAAGGAGGAAGCCCGGATACTACTGAACCCCGTCGGCTTGCCTCTCTCAAAGCAGACAACATTGTTGCTCCCATGACTTTGTCTCTTCGCGTGTCTCCATCGGATATCATTGCAACGATTGTATACAGTTTTTTCCACCTCGGCTGTGGGTGGTCCCTGGGGATTCAAGAAATTCGGCTAGACAAAGATGGGCAGCAACTTGATTCGCGACTGACCACCACGGTGGATTCTCAATATGGCGTGCGACCGCTTCGCGGGTTACAATCCGGCAAGCAACAACCCTCTGCAGCAGAGCCAGACAATTATGAATCCGCTCCTGATGCGCCGTTCATTCTCCATCGGAAGCCACCGACCTCCATGTCCTATTCTCACCCATATTTACTGACCTCTCATGCTGACAACACATTGACTATGTACCTCGTGGTCTCTGCCTCCAACAAGCTGTTTGTTCAAGGTGGCCGCCGGCTTTGGGGCCACACCTCGTCCGTCTCGGCCGTCCAGGTCACCAAACGAGGAAAGGCTGTTTCAGTCAGCTCTCGGGGAGATGAAATCCGGATTTGGGAGCTGGAGACGGCCATCTCCTCCTTAGGCACCCGCAAAATCCTCAAAGAAGATCACGGTATCCAATTGAGCACGGGAAACACACGTGAATTAGAGTCTGCACTCCCTATGACGCTTTCCGAAAGCCTGAATAGCACAGGCCTGGGAGTTGACTCCCCGGAGTGGTCAAGAATGCAAGACTGTGTGGGATTTGACGAGGAAAGAGTCCTCTTACTACGAGAAAAAGGCGTTGGAACACAACTTCTTGAATGCTATGATTTCACCTGAGAACATCCAAGAAAAGAGATGGAATCTGACTACACAGACACTTGCACTCAGCACGACACATCTCAGTGATGTCGTAATCCAACCGGCCAATAACAGACCCGGCCGTGGCACAAGGTACTCAACTCCACCCGGACCGGGGACCCTGGACAGTTCAGGTATAAAAGTATTGTGATCGCCCAGAAGTTGGTCCAAATTTATATGACTCTTCTCACCATATGCCATATCATGCGGATCGAATCCGGACATGGCGCTGAGGCACAAAATCGCCATTCCAGCTTCCGACGGAACACATACTGGGAGAATTTCACCAGAACATTTTCCGAATAATCCGAACAGAACCGGAAACAGAGTCAGAACGAAAGAAGAAGCGAAGAAAAGAGGCCCCAGAGGTGACGAGTTGGAGGAAAAAAGAGAGATGGCCTAGGCGGTCAAGCGAGTCGTATCGCGGGAAGATTTCTCTCCCCCCGCACTACAATATTTTTCGAGAGTCTCAGCAATTTTTTCTTTTTTTTCACTTGAACCTATTCGATTCTTTTTCCCTTTTCAAAACTTTTATCTACATTCAAACCTCACAAAATGGATTTCCCTGCTGGACGTGGTGGCGGTTGCTTCAACTGTGAGTCTCTTCACTTCTCTTTTTTTCCCGTTCTTCTCGGCCTTCCTATGAGGCATTGATCAATCTCGATACGTCATGGTCGCCGTTGAAGCTGGTGAACCGGCAAACAAAGTCAAATACAGACCAGGATGACTGGCCTTGCAGCATTGGACTTGAGTGCTAACCTTTTCTAAATAGGCGGCGAGGCTGCTCACCAGGTACATTGCGACACCTGAACCTTCGATATTGGCAATATTGGGTTCGATCTGCGTTGATATGAAGCTTATACTATATTCCTAGGCCAAGGACTGCCCCAAGAAGGGAAACCCCACCTGGTAATTACTCTGTCTCTGGCCCAAATGATCCCACATGCTAATATAGGCAATAGCTACAACTGCGGCGGTATGGTTATATCATAAACCACCATTATCGAGGTGATCATTTGCTAATAGATTCGGGGTGGACAGGCCAGGGTCACTTGAGTAAGATTGCATGGACTCTCTTTGGATATACTTGACTGACGTTCGTCCTAGGCCGTGAATGCCAGGAGCCTGCCAAGGAGAAGACTTGCTACCGTTGCGCACAGACTGGTCACCTTTCCCGGGAATGCCCCCAGGGCGGCGAGAGCAACTACAGCGGCGGTGGCAGCCAGGAATGCTACAAGTGTGGACAGGTCGGCCACATTGCCCGTCACTGCTCCCAGGGCGGTAACTACGCCGGTGGTTCCGGATACGGCGGTGGTTTCGGTGGTGGTTTCGGCGGCCCCGGTGGTCGCCAGCAGACCTGCTACTCGTGCGGTGGTTTCGGTCACATGGCCCGTGACTGCACTCAGGGTCAGAAGTGCTACAACTGTCAGTCATCCCCCGCAATGAGCCATCCTGAGCTCACAACGAGCTCACAACTAACTCCCTCCAGGCGGCGAGGTCGGTCACGTCTCCCGTGATTGCCCTACCGAGGCCAAGGGTGAGCGCATGTGCTACAAGTGCAAGCAGCCCGGTCACGTCCAGTCTGCCTGCCCCAACTAAGAGGTGTCTGATCGCTTGCATCGCTCATTTGGTCGACATCTTTTCTGCAGCTTCCCATGGGATCGGACGACATTTTTCATGCATGCACGAAACGAATTTCCCTTTTTATCTGAAAATGTATGATTAGAGATCAACGCCTGACATGGTTGACATGATCTACCTGACGCCGAGTTTGGTTTTCCGGGTTCTTTTTTTTCTCGTTTCGCGCATAAAATGTGGAAGCAGGGAATCCCTGCAAATGCTCTTATTTGCTATTCACATTCCAGCCGATGTAGTACACATCTTGTAGGATGGACCTATAAAGTAACGTAGATGGATCCTTCATGACATTGAAGCCTCATGATCCTCAATTGGATACCATATCAATGGACTAAGAACTGCAACTGCACATCATGGCTCTCTTGTACTTGGGTACGTCCCCACAGAAGCGCTCTTCCTCTTCCTTGTGAACACCCCATTGGTCCTTGAACGGGTCCAGAGACATTGCCATGACCCGGTCAAGGATCTCTCGATCTCCCTTGCGCTCGACGCGCTCAATGACCTCGTCAAGAATCCAGCCACGAGGAACGAACTAGTAAAAGTCAGTATCAAGCTTCCAGGCAACGGTCTCCAGAACACATACATTAGGGTTGACTGATTTCATAGCGGTCTGTCTTTGCTCGTCAGCTCCCGGACCCCAGTCTTCGAGGACTCGAGCTCGCCAGCTATCAAGCCATTTTGCAATGCGATCCCTAGCTGTATCGTCGGTGTATCCAATTCCACCAAAGCCTTCAGCATGGTAGAATATGGATGCCACCTCTTTTCGGCTTGCTTCAGTCTCCAATTGGGACAGCGAAATGCCCGAAAGACGGCGGAAGAAGTGATTAAAATCTAACTCAAGTGCTTCAAGCGTGTCCAGCATCTCCGAGAAAAGCGTCTGGAAATCGGACTCAACCTGCGTCTTAAGCCCAAGCCTTTGGGACATCAGTCGCTTGTATTCATTCAAGAAGACTGCTCGGAATTCTTCGCCTGTGCGCTCGATGATGTTCTCTGCGCGTTTGATCAGTTCCGGCTCTAGCGTCTCGGAAACCCCAACTTTGACGAAGCTCTCGTCGTCTACCCGGCTGCCAGCTCCGATCAGCTCACCAAGCGACTCGCCGAGCCGAACCAAATTCCACCATATGATGCTGGGTTGGTTTCGGTAGCTGTACCGCAACATGTGGTCATCATGGTTAGGGGTGTATGCAGGATCGAAATTGTCCATGAATGCAAAAGGACCATAATCCAGTGATAGACCATAGATCGATGTGTTGTCTGTATTCAGTACACCGTTCATGAAGCCGTACGCCTGCCATGCAGCCACCGTCTTTGCATTGCGACGAGCAATCTCCCGGTAGAGTCTGGCAAACCGGTTCTCTTGTACATCTTGGTGCTCCTGCACTTTGTCACTGGAAATTCCCCTCGCAGGGCTGTCAACTTCAGCAGATGACAACTGATCGCGCAGTGACACAATGGCGGGAAGAGTGTCCCACCCTCCAAACACATCTTCTGCGACGTAAGTTGCCAGTTGTCGCATCAGCTCACGATCTCCACGAACGCGGAGAAGATCGAATGTGCCAATTCGCAACCAAGACTCGGCAAACCGGGCAACGATCGCACCCGGCTCAAGACGCTCTCGCAAAACCTTGGCATTTGGGACCGAGGTAAGTGAGAGGGCACGAGTGGTTGGAATTCCAAGGGCATTGAGGGCTGGGGGGAAGAGAGAATGTCTCAGCGGGTTCATTTGTGAACATATGCATGCAGTTTTACTTACCTTCTGAGACCACAAATTCTCGGATACTTGATCGAAGCACGGCCTTGCCGTCCGCAAATCGCGAATAGGGCGTTCTGCCGGCGCCCTTCAGTTGCAGCTCATACCGCGTGTTTGTTTGCGGGTTTGTGCATTCAAAGAGGCTGATTGCACGCTGGATGTCGTGTAAGCCACTGCAAATTGAAACAATGTCCGCTGGTCAACTTACCCCGTCTCCGAGTTGTCCGGCCCATGAACCACTGCACTTTTGTCAGTTTTGGGCCAGCGTAGAAGATTTGATATAGGCTTACAATTGCCAACCTATCTCGATTAGCGTTCGTTCCCTTGTACGAGGAGGGAGTTCAAACCTCCGTAACACTGCGCCCACGGGTAGATTCCGCCTTGTTCCTCATTCCACCAAATCTCATTTCCCGCGACCAATGCCTTAAACTGCGAAGTTTGCTCTTCTCCGGCCTTCAGTCCTAGGTCTTGCATGGCTTTCGAGCTAACACTCAGTAGCTCCGACCCTTCGGCTTGCTCGGGGCGAACATAGGTGAACAAGGCCCCTTTGACCATGCGAGGGCCCAGGGTTTCCCGAGGCGCATTATGCGAGGACTCGGGAGTTTCAAAGGCCGGGTCAGCAGGTAGTTTAGAAGTGAACGTATTAGATTTGGGCAGCTCGGCGAGGGAGATCCCAGAGCCGCTGGAGAAGTGGGAAGCCATTTGATTCAGTCGATTCCGCGGTTTTAAAAGCATCAACCGGTGGGAATTTGCTAGCAGACGGAAGCTCATGGAGAAAACTACCAATGCATGCGAAGTTGATCGAAAGTGATGAGGTATATGCAGGTTCAGGGAACACTTCAAAAGTCCAGAACGGAAATGACATAATTGGCATTATTAATCGTCTCCACGATTTACATCGACTGTTTACCCCACTCACCGTCTTTCATTCTCTTCTCTGTCTTGATATACAGATCTCTCACTATTGTCGGGAGGTTGTTCGTCTCGTTTCAGCTCTACTCTATTCAGCCATGGCGGGAATCATCTCCTCTATCCCTACCGTGGACCTCAATGATGGTACCTCGGTTCCAGTCGTAAGTGTGGGGAGAATGCCATCAAATCGTCGGACTATCTGACCATAATTAGATTGGATATGGTACCGGCACAGCCTGGTATAAGAGATCGGACACTGGCATCAATCGTGATCTGGTGGAATCACTCAAGACAGCAACGAAGCTCGGATATCATCACCTCGACGGGGCAGAGGTCTACCAAACCGAAGAGGAATTGGGACTTGCAATCAAGGAGAGCGGAGTGCCTCGAGAGGAACTGATTGTCACGACTAAAGTGAAGACTAACATTGCCGATATCCCTCAAGCCATCCGAACCAGTCTCAAGAAGCTTCAGCTTGACTATGTGGATTTGTCAGTATCAAGGAAGCGGTTCGAGTCCCAGATACTAATAACCAGGCTAGGTATCTGATTCATGAGCCATTCTTTGCAAAGACCCACGAGGAACTTCAGACTGCCTGGGCTGCCATGGAGCAAGTCAAGGAATCTGGATTAGCGCGTTCGATTGGAGTGTCCAACTTCGTGGAAAGCCATTTGGAAGCCATTCTGAAGACAGCCAAGGTGGTGCCATCGGTCAACCAGATTGAGTTTCATCCCTACCTTCAACATGGGGATCTAGTCTCCTATCATGAAAGCAAAGGCATCAAGACGGTCAGCTTTGCGGGTCTCACTCCTACCACTCGTGCCAAAGGCGGTCCGCTGGATCCTTTGCTCTCATCCTTGGCCATCAAGTATGGAGTCAGCGAGGCAGAAATCTTGCTTCGGTGGATTCTCGATCGTGGCTGCATTGCTATCACCACCAGTGGCAAAGAGACACGGATGAGCAGCTATCTACGAGCATTAACGTTCAAGCTGACACCTCAAGAAGTGGAAGAGATCTCCAAGGTAGGAGAGGAGCACCATTTCCGGGCATTCTGGGTGGATAAATTTGCCGCGGATGATCGTTCATGAAGAGATTGTATGTTGTTATTGTATAGAGAGATAGATTGAATAGAGAAGAAGTGAAAGAAGGGAAGAAAGTGAAAAGTACTGTATTATGGTATTGTGGTAATGCTGTATTGTAATTTTCCCATCACATGTAACGATAAGGGTGATAAGCCACAGGTACCGTACCGGGCGGAGTCTAACCTTCTCCAACTCATCTCTTTCATTCTCTCCGGGAGCATCATCTTCTCCGAGGTCACCCTCTCATTGTGACTACTTTCCCTTTGTTCTCTTCTTCCTGCTCCCTGCAATTGCGCGCAGCTTCATCCTTTCCAGGGTTATGGGATCACCGCGTGATGGGATGCCCTGATCATCTGGCTCCTGAACAAGGCTCTTGACGCTATTTATCTTTCACACTCGATGCTGTGACTTCCACCCGTGAATCCCTTTGATTCTTGGTAAACTTACAGGCCCCAACCTTCGGGCTACGTCTTGAGACGAAAACCGCGTGCGGCTCAGTCATATCTGGTGGAGGAAGTCGCGAAACCCCGCGCACTGCGATGTCGGTGAACGAGCGGCGCCATTCTCAACACACACCAACTCCTCCGGCTGCAAGATCCTCCGAATCAGCTCGCGAAGCGCTTGACCGACGACTACAGCGCCTCTCCGACGAGGTCCTTCCCGCGGTGCCTTACATCCTGACACTCCCGACGAAGGCGCCTTTCCATCTGGGAAGCCGAGCTACTGATAATTGGGCCGTGGGGCATGACAGGCCCTTCAGCGCGGAGGAGCAGGAACTTCAGTATATGACCTTCTTAACCCACCACAATACCGACTCACTGCTTGTAGCTGTTGGGGACTGGGCGGACGAAACGGGGCGCATGATGGATGATCGATCAAATGCCCAAAATACCGTGGAAGGTTCAAGAGATACTGGGGCCAAGAAGAAGATCAGTTTAAAGGACTACAAGGACCAGAAGACGAGTGGTGCAGTCGCATCCCCCCATGGGGCCCGATGCGGGCAGCCGAGGCGCCTCGAGTTCGAACAAGCCCGAAGGAAAACGACAGACGACCTCCTCAGGCTCTTCTCGAGATGTGCACAAGACCGAAAAATTACAATCGCAGCCGAAGTCGCAGGTGCGCCATCGTTCCCCCAACAGAGCAGGACAAAAACGCCCATCCGGCTCAGAACGCGAGTTCGTTCATTCCCGAGGAACGAAGGACCCCGAAGCACATTCACCAAAGAAACCCCGACGGTCACCAGAAAGGGAGACGCGTCGAGATCACAGCCCCTCAAAATCGCACTCGCCCAAATTACCCGCACTCCTATCCCCTACCTTACCTCCAACTCCTACCGGCTCTAGACTTCCACGACTCTTATCCCCAACTCTGCCACCGGATATTGAGAAGGAACTAGCAAGCTTCGAAGATCTCTCCCCGCTTTTAAATGTTGTCGAGAAATCAGCACCCGCCAAAGACGCCAGTCAACGGGATACCAGAGACAACACGCGCACCCTCCCGACAAAATCTCAAATGATCGTCAAGCTGCGTTATGGGAGGGCTAATCGAAAGCGGGTCGAAGCACTTTTGAAGTTCAATGGGAAACCCAAAAGTCATCGCTCAGATTCGCCCATCAGCCAAGACACAGACCGGGACAATTCCAATCATATCAAGAAGAAGGGGGCAGATCTTGGACTGTCTCGCATTGGAGGCCCAAAAGGCAAGAAAAACGATACAGACGAACACATTGGTTCACGCGAAGGGCGCACGAAAGAACCCAAGGGCTCCGCTGAAAACCCCCGAACGCCGGTTCCTCAACCACCACCCATACCACATTCAGCCGCGCATGAGAAACCAAAGCCAAGTTCTATCACACCAGCGAAGGACTTGAAACCCTCTCGCCGAACGGACGTCGCAGAAAGCGATACGAAATATTCATCTCATCCACCCACTCAACGCCATTCTGTTGATTCTGGGTCAACCGCTAAAGCCTCCCCAACACCGACCGACAGTCGCTCGCGCCATGATCGCCAGGTCTGGACAGAAGAATGGCAAAAGTTCACAACCTTGGGTCGCGAACTGAAACATGAAGCAGCACGGATCACTAACAAGCACGGCGCCTCGTCAGCAGATGAAAAACTTGCTGCGGTCACTGCGATTGAGGCGTTATTGTCTTTCATTCTAGCGTTTGTGGCACATGACCAGGCCATCATTTTAAAACGTCAGACCGCCGACTCTTCAACTTGGCTATCTATTGTGGCATACTGGCGCGCGGTCAAGAAAAGTACTACGCAGTTTCCTGTGTTGACTGACATCTGCTCGCTTCTTGGTGCTGTCTCTTATGGTGCAATCCATTCCCTTGACCTCGAACGCCTCTCTTCGATGCCCTTCCCTGGAGAGCACCCTCCGAACCCCACCCCGGGAAGTGACGGCAACGCAGCCTTGCAGGATGAAAAGAAACTCAGGAAGGATCTCGCGGATCTGAGGGGGCGGCTGCTGGAAAGCTACAAGCACTCACAAAGATTGTGGCTGGATGGCACAAGGGGTCTCTCCGAGGATGTCCTTGAACGTGATTTCCCTACGAGTTGGTCTGAACGCTCTCAGAATTACTCCGAACGAGGTCGACCATCCCTCAAGGCGCGTGACTATTCCGGTAGCTACTTCCTGCCATTCAGCAGTCTCACTCCACCGATTGAAGTGGTCAGATTCAGTTGGGTTCTTTTGAAAGAGTGGTGCTCCAAGCAACGCGTTGATTGGAATGGGCGTTTGAATCTGTGATTCTCAAGGCTCTTGTTTCCTTCTGCAATCGGCACGAAAATACCCTTGGTGGGTTTTCTTTTCTTCAATATCTTTCTTTGCTTTTTAGTCGTTTCTTTCATGATACCACGAGCCCTGGAATTTCGTGTAGCTAGTTGCCATTGGAATATACCACGGGAGATGCAAATGATAACATTATTCTTTTCTTTGGAACGGCATTTCAGACATTCTTCATGCACCTACTACTTTGATAGTCAGTGGATGCAAGACATATGAGATTTAAACCCGAGCTGCTAACCTAAAAGTCGAATTCCGCTAAACTCCATGAAAACATAACCGCTCAAATGTACAATCAGGATGAAAGAAAGAAAGAAACCGTGCCCATGTCATGACATCAAGGGCAGAATGCGTTCGCCCAGACTTGAAACTTGTAAAATTGGATGAACCTAGACCTCTTGGTATTCCTGTCCAAACCGGGATTGCGAATCACCAAAGAGCCAACCGGCCTCGCGGCAATACCGGGCCTCTCGACCATAGATACCAACTTCACTTGCCCAGCAAATGACAGCGGCGTCGACGATATCAGCGATCACACCCTCCATAGCACCTAGCGTGGTCCACCCGATCGTCCCAGCGATGAGGCCGACGACGTAGGCATAGAGGCTTCCGCGGACGCCGGTGCCGGTGCCAGAGGTTGTGAGACTTCGAGCGGTGGTCACCCAACCACCAAAGCCGAGAGCCAACGACATCATGAACCGGGCGGCGTAGAGGATCAATTTAGAGAGTCGATAAGAGAGCAGGCTTCCTGAACCTCCCGGGGACCGCGAATAAGACCGAGGGTGTAAAGAAGTGGAAGCTGCCGATGGAGCAAGAACAGTCATCTGACTCAGCCCTCGAGATGAAACGCCAAGAGGCTGTGAATGGATTGCTGCATAGCTGAGCGACAGTGGGTTGGTCAAGTAGGTGATGGGAGTTGGGACTAATGAATAGGCAAACAGAGTGATGATCGAGGCGAGGCGGCCAGGTAGTATGATCAAAGGTAGTCGAACCAGAAGCCCCAGGAGTCTAGACAGGGATATTGTGCCGAAAAGAGTCGTGACCGCATGAATAATAGCTGCCTGGACAATTTGCCTGGAGGTTGGAGCGGGTGTTGCGAGACGGTGGAAATACCACTGACTCACTGTTGCAGCCGTGACAGCCCGCTGAACGCCTGCGATGACTCCAATGGACCATAGGTAGACGAGGACGAAATAAATCCCGAGCCACCAGCTACCCACGTCGATAATGAATGATTTTGAGCTGGTGAGATGGCCCCCCAGGAAGACACGAGTGAACATGAGCATCCAAATCCATGTCCAAGATACAACACAGACAAGAGCACACAGGCCTAGGGCAAGTAACTCTGGATTGGCGGCTAAGATTCGACAGGCGAACTCAAGGATGCCGATGGCTTTTCCGATGTTGTGGCGCCCGCGGACGACATTATAACTCCACATGGTAGCTATGAGAAACGGTACGATTGATCCCCATCTCATAGCCTTATCTTGTATGCTTGTTCCGTGCCATGTCCCCTTGAAGCTTGAAATGAAAGGGTATAAAGAGAACGAGTAGAGTATGACCGGAACGGCGACAATGATCACATGAACCAATAGTCGTACGTAAGACCGTAGCAATGCAAGCCAGAGAAGAGAGACAAGAATTGATACAATAGTATAGATCCCGAGTAGAAAGAAAGATCCATGGACAGTCAGATATATTGTGTCGCCCCACTTTGATTTGTCTCCAGACGGGGTGGATGTGTGCAGGTACACCAGGAAGGCAGAAGCAAATAAGCCCGCGAGCGATATGAAGAACAGCTGACCCCAGAAAGCATCATGCACTATGTTCTCCGAGGCCAGAGGCGATCCAGAGACTGGGAATGAACCTGTCGAGCTCGGTGGCCGTGCGCCATCTTGAGGCATGAAGTCCTGCTCTTCAATAGGATCCAGCGGGTTGGCTCCAATGTCTCTTAAAGGAGCCCGTTCACGGAATCTTTGAACCGGTGGATCTTGGGCACTATGGGTAGATAATGCCTGGTCGTCGTTGATGCCAGCTCGCAACGAATCCTCTAGGCCGACATCAACTAGATGACCGCGGACTTTGCTACTGCTGGGGCTTGTATGGAATCCCGGTTCGTGCTCTGTGACCTCGGCCACCGATTCAATCGGGAAAGGTCGGGCAGCTGGAATGCTCTTCTCTCCCCGCCATGAACTCTTGATACCTTTCCCATTCCCAGGGCGCTCATCGTATGGCGAACTCTCATCGAGCCCCGACGGTCCAGAGTCTTCAAGTTCTGAGGAGTCCTTCAGATTGCTGTCTCCGAAGTTGCGCCTTGAACGCTGCAGCGCATAGAAGTCTGCGATCTCTCGCTCGCGTTCAGTTTCGTCGTCCTCTTCTCGGAACTCATCCGTGGCACTGAAAAAGAGAGGTGCCGGTTGGGCCGCACCCCGAGAGGCAAAAGGGAAGTGAGAGACTTGAGATCCGGCAGGACGATAAGGATCACCGGGTCGCAGAAACGAGCGTGACGAGGGATGTCGAGGATTGCCTTGTACATTAGGGCGGCCACGACCCGTCCTTTGGGCCTCGTCTGGTTGAAGGTTTATTCGTGACTGTGACTGGGCGAGAAACCGTGAGGCATCTAAGTGAATATGAGATTAGCTAGACACTTCCAGAACCCCAAAGGGGGCATCCTACATTCAGAAAACATCTCCCTCCCGACGACGGAGAATACGGTGAGGGTCGAATAGTCACTGTAGAATGATAATCAAGTACGTGGGAGAATTTATTGAAGAAGATAGAGAGAGAGAGAGAGAGGGAGAGAAAGGATATTGATATTGTTTTGAGATAAGTCAGTTTCTAAGGTGAGAAAAGAAGAAGGGTCAAGTTGAAGCCGATAGTCACGCAGGTGATGGAAGCGTCATACGGGCACGTCAGGCTTGATAAAGATGACTCAGCAGCTGATAAGTTCCAACATCTCCGCTTTGTTTTCCATCTCTCATTGTTATTCTCTGCTCTCCATGTCACAGCCATGGGATTATATTGCTAAGCTTGTCTGCATTGGTGACTCCGGCACCGGCAAGTCCAGCGTAAGTGACCCTGCTCCCAGGGAAGACTTGGCGCGCTAACGCAGATAGCTCACGGTCCGACTCTGTGAAGGTCGTTTTTCTCCATCTCACGATGTCACCATCGGGGTTGAGTTCGGATCACGGATTGTGCCGGTGGGTCCTCCAGCTTCTCTGGAGCTGGGACTAGATGAACCTGCCGGAGAGTCACCAGCAGAGGCACCAGAAGCATCTACCTCGGGCCTTCCCTCACCTCCACGAAAGCCACAAGGCTCACCCAATCAAAAACGCATGAAGCTGTCCTTGTGGGATACTGCTGGACAGGAAACATACAAGTCCATCACTCGATCATATTTCCGAGGTGCCTCCGGTGCACTGCTCGTATTTGATATCTCCAGGCGGTCGACATTCACATCGTGCACCCAGTGGCTTCAGGATCTGCGGCAGATTGCAGAAGAGGGCATCGTTGTTATCCTGGTTGGCAACAAAAGCGATCTATCAGGAGCAGAATCTGGATCAAATCAAAGACAGGTCACCCAGGAGGAGGCCGAAGAGTGGTGCCGCATGAACAATGTTGTCCGCTACGTCGAAACAAGTGCCAAGTCCGGGGACGGTGTTGAACGCGCGTTCTTGGAGGTTGCTGAAAGAATCTATCGTAACATTGAGACCGGCAGATACGACTTGAATGATCGTCGGAGCGGCGTGAAAGGGTTCGGTGCCTCAGGAGGCGCGAACGCAGGTGTACCGAGAACTGTCACTTTAGGGATGGATGATGCTATGCGCAAAGGCAATGGTTGGAGTGGAGGGTGCTGCTAAGTCCGACCCACAGTAATACATAATATTGACCCAGGTACATATCTACTGTACGAGGCTTCAGAACTCAACTGCCCAGGGCTTACGCAAGAGCATCAGGCTATCGAGATGGGCTGTCACACGATGGCCAGGACTTTATCTGCGATATACGCTAATTGTAACATGTTCATTGCAACTTCCATGAGATAGCACACCCTACAGTTTAAAAAAAAAGTGAAGTCGCATCGGGTCACTTCATACAAGAACCATCAAGTCCAGGAAGATTCGGACATACCACATCAAACAACAATAGCTATAAGGGAATGGATCAAGGTATAAGATTTGTCCCTACACCTGGACCCTATGCTTGGTTTGCAATCTTCCATCCGGACAGCCAGCGAAGATGCGTCCATTGCTGGTTGGAACCTTCCATTCCAAACACGATGGCTCGGAAATGGATGAACAGTCCGATGACAGCCACATAGAGCAGGGCATACACTGCAGCGGCCAGTCTAGGGTTCATTCTTCGTGTCACCCAGTCAATGCAGAAACCAAAGTTCAGGATGGCGTAGTAAAGTGCTGGGTAATAGTGGTGGACATATGTCACACGGGCCATGATGATGAAGGGAAGGTAGTGTAACACCCATCCAATGACTGGGTATAATCCCGAGTAGTGGATGTGGTCGATATCCGCGTTGCTGAGATCCTTGTAGCCTCTTTGCCAACGCAGAAGGTGCCACAGGAACAGGAGGCCGAATCCAACAAGACCGGCACTGCTACCCCAGTAAACGAGGGGGTTTCCAAGCAGATAGTATTTGACAACACTGTCATCCCAAGAGCACATACGTAAGCCAACGTTGAGAATTGGCCACTGCCAGAACTTGGAAGCCAAATCATCTTGCTTGTCGGGATCGGGAACCAGTGCGTTGTTGGAAGTCATCATAGCCACATTCAGGTGAATGAAATCCTTCAAGAAAGGCGACTTGTACGAACCAGGGTCGCCAGGTGGCACTGTGCAGGTTAGTAAAGGGATTCGAATTGTCCAGTATTGGGGAACTTACGGCGTTCATTGGTGTGAGACTCAACATTCCAGTGAGTGTACACGTCACTGGGCTTGTTCTCCTTGGTGCATGTGGTTTCAATCTGCTTGAAGCCCCACTGGGGTAGGTTGACGTTTCCTGCACGGAGGTAGCAGCCCAGAACTGGGTGGCGGAGACGGAAGGCTGTGGTGAGTGTGCGCACCCTGGAGCGATCTCTCGATGCAACATCGTCGACCACTTCCACTTTCCAGTGATCCTTATCGTCACCAATAGTAATGTTGCCGTAGGAGGAGACTTCATGGTGAGATTTAGAGATGGGAGCCGGGATGGCGTGAGAATGCAGATTACGGCCTGTCTGTCCGTGGATCAATCTGATAACATCACCGTCGCCAACAAAGCGCAGGTCGGCATCGGCATCATAGTCCGCCTCCTGGCGATTGGGATAGATGAACCAGTCGTTGTTGGCATCTTTGTGGTGATAGCAGGTGACCTGCTGCTGTTGAGATCCTTCTGGGAAGGTCTGCACGTGAGAGTGTAGAAGTCCTCCTCCGTATCCCATGTTCTTGAGTGTGATGCGCGATCCAATTGCAAGTTCAAGCGGGCTGTCTCTGCCAACCTCGGTGCCTCGCAGATTAGCTTGGAAAAGGGAGCTCATCTGGGCATCGCCGGGACCACTGTTCGCAAGCACCAAGAAGTGCATGTAGAAGGAAAACATGTAAACCAAAATGGGGATGACGATCAATCCGACAACGCGAACCACAACGTGCTTTGCAAGCACAGCCTGTTAGGAATTTGCATGTTAGTGACCTGGTCATTCATGATCGTAGCAGGATCTAATACTACTCACCTGGGGCATCTTGAGGTCGCCAAACTTGTTCCATAGATCGTCGATGGTGTACAGTCCCACGAGAGCGGTGCAGAAGAAACCAACCCATTTGACGCTGCAGACACATCCAATGCTCAAGCCGGTCAGGCAAAGCCAAGTATACCATTCCAGAGAGAAGCTTGCGCGCTGCAGGCGATGGAACCGAGCCCAACACATGGTCGTAGTAAACGTGAAACAAAGCAACATCGAGTCGAGCAGAATGAATCGGGAGATGGTCGCGTACGAATTCTCGCACAACACCATCAAACTGATTAACCAGACGGTGGCTCTGCGGAAGTTCAACTCTCGAGCGGTGTAGTACGCCAGAGGAACGCAGACGATACCGAAAGCGGCGTTGAAAGCTCGCATGAAGGTATAGTTCACATCTTCCGGGTACTTCTCGCCGGACTTGAATTCAAAAGATCCGTTGTAGCCTGCAAGATAGCCGGACAGGCCAACAAGCATCTTTCCGAGTGGGGGGTGTACATCGAAGTAGAACTCGCGCTTGAGGTAGTGAGAACCGAATTTACCGAAATGGGCCTCATCCCAGGTAACGATGTTGGATCGGCCGATCTGGTACAAGCGAGTGAAGAGGGCGAGAGCTGTCAGAACAATGGGGAAAATGATCGGTTCCCAGCGGGCGAGTACATGGAGAAATGAGGGGGACTGCTATTCGGAGGTCAGCGAAGCCCAATTGTGAATTGTTGAAGAAAACAGCTCTCTTACCTGCTTGGATTTGCTCTTTTCTTCATCAATTGTCCTAGTTGCATCCACATTGGCCTTGGAAGTAGGAACATTCCTCCGACGTAGGTCAGAATCCAGGTTAGCCCCGGAGCTCACGGCAGTGTCAAGTCCCGCCATGTTGCGAATCGGAGAGTTTCAACGGAGCGCGAGCTCTGATGATCAATGGAGATAAATTGAACACAAAGATGTCGACAAATAGACCAAAAATATTAAAAGAGCAAAGAGGTTGCCTTAGGGGAACATTGCCGGGGTAAATGAGTGGGAACCGTGGATGGGTAAAGCTGATTAGATAGCAATACCGATAATGATAGGAAAAGAAGAAAAAGAGAAGAAATAAACGAAAGAAATAAAAAGAAGAGAGGATGTCGTTGCGGAGGATGGAGAGAGGAGAGAGGAGGAGAGAGAGAGAGAGAGCGTGGCCTCTCATAAACAAGTCCACTTTTAGTCTCGGGGCCGTTTTCAGAACGTGGCCTCCCTATTTTCTCTTCCCTTTGCGACCTTTTTTGTTTTAATCACATCCCACACATTCTTGGGATTTAGAAAAATGATCCTAATGAAATAAAGTGAGCTAATACAAGTGAAAAGATCGAGAGATAAAAAAGATAACCCAAAATACATTCCACTCTACCAGTGATGCGAAGATCTATACAGTGCCTATAAGCATCTATAGGTACAACGTAAGAGAACCCAACTCCGGGTCAACAGACTACGATGGATTCAATGATGCCGGGGATCACCCTTCATCTTCCTCTCCTTGTTCCAGTCGCCGGTACTGATTGCTAGCACCAGGACCTGCGGCCTTTCGATTGACCATACCAGAAATCCAGCCACCGAGTCCCTCACGCCGAGCACCGCTCTGCTGGGAATCCGAACGTCCACGTTTGCTGATCCGATCAGGACTGAGACTGGGTGGATCAATGTCAAGACCAGGGATAGAACTGTCCGTTCCAAATTGACCATATGGCCGCCGCAAGTCAAGCGAGGGAACAGGCGATCCTGCCCCAATCAGCGATCCTCGTTCGCCTTGCGTGGCAGGCGTGGGCATCGCAGTGGAAGCATCGCCAAACAGCATGTTCATATCTTCCAACCGAACACCACTTGTTTCAGGGTATAGGAAATAGACTAAGAGATTGGTTGGTACGGAGACTTCTGAGGAGGGCGGAAAGACTTACCAACCACAAAACTGCATGCGCAAAAGAATGCATGAACCAAATATAACCGCCACTTGATCGCTGCCTGAAGAACGGGTGTCACTTCACCCACAAGCCAGTTGAATGCCCAATTTGAAGCGGTACTCAGACTTGCGCCTTTGGCTCGAATACTCAGAGGTAAGATCTCCGGGGGGTAGAGCCATGGGATGGGGCCCCAGGATGCCCCGAACGCTGCATTGTAGACCATGACAAAGATGACGGTTAAGGTCGGGGTGGCAGGAATTTCAATGTAGATGAAGTATGAAATCAGTGAAAGGGAAATGATCATGGCCACCGCACCCCAAAGTAAGATTGGACGTCGGCCCCATCCATCCACGAGATACCATGGGGGTATGGTAGAAAGCAGGTATGAGATGCCGTTGATTCCCGTCATGAGGATGGCATCCCGGCCAACCCAGCCAGCCTACAATCCACAGTTGTCAGCATCAGTCATATCGATATGAGTGGTGAGTCAATTTTGAGGGTGGGTTATCAGGACAGGCAAAGTAGGGCTCGTTGAACATAGCTAGGTAGGAAAATCGTACCGATTCGAACACGAGGGGCGCGTAATATGAGATGACATTGATTCCGTTGAGCTGGGCCAAAGCCTGGGCCGACATGGCGATGAGAACGCGCTTGCGATACCGGCGGAACATGTCTGAGTAGGATCTCTCGCCCTCTTGTCGCTGGACAAGGACGTTCATCTTGATCTCCCGGTATTCTTGGCGAGCTTTATCATTGAGCAGATCACCTTCGCCGTATAGATTGGCGATCACCACCATACCTTCCTCGTCGTGATCATTGTCAAGAAGCCATCTAAGGAGAACGAGATCTTTGGTTAGAAGAACAGGTGTAGGGACGTTATCCACTCACCTTGGGGATTCGCAGATAATCAAACTGCCAAAGCCAAGCAACGCACCCATAACGCATTGAAAGAGGAGTGGGAGGCGCCAGGAGTAGTCGTTGTCGATGAAGCTACAAAAGTAATCAACCCAGACACTGGTCGCATAACCGGCTATGTTTCCAGTGAACTCGATACACGCAAGTTTTCCACGGTTATGAGGAGGCTAGAATTTTGTCAGCGCTCTCTTTTTGAATCAAGTAGCCTCCGCAAAAGGAATGAAGTAAATACCGATATCTCTGACTGGTAAACCGGCACAATGGTGGAAAGCGCGCCCACGCCCAGTCCAGCAATGACACGCCCGACCATCATCATCGGGATCCCGTTGGCGAATGTCTGCAGGGCGCCGCCGATGAAGAACACCATCGAGCCATAGAGAATTGTCCTCCGCCGACCGATCACATCACCGACCCGTCCCACCAGGAGGGAGGATATGAACGCGCCGACTTCGAGGACAGCAACCACCGTTCCGATGGTGGCCCGAGATGGCTGGTTGAAGTAATCCTTGAAGTGCCAACCACTGCTTCTGTTAGCTTCTATGGACGCTTACACTGGGGATTTTCCCTAGAGGGCTGGACACCAACGTTATAATGCCTGACATGACACCCTGGTCATAGCCAAACAGAAAGACTCCCAGGGACACAAACACGCTTGTAAAATAACTACAACCAAGGTCAGTAGGGCTGGCAATAGAGGGATCGTTGAGACACATGCAGCAGTGGTTTTCCGACCAGGCCCAGGTGTTGGGCATTTGATCCATTTCTAGGCGTCATGATTACTGCCAGCACACGCTCGGCTCTTGAAATCTTGCGTGGTCGAGGATTGGGGATGGGGATCTTTTCGATGTCGAGCTCGGGGCGGTGTTGACCGGAGCCTGCGGAGTAATGTACGTGCTTGGGCTTTCTACGCCCGCTTCGGCCCAAGAGCTCTCGCTCCGCGGAATCGAGATGCTGGTGCAACGGGTCGTCTACGGCTGACTGCTCGGCAAGGTCACCGGTGTCTGACCAAATGGAAAAGCCAGACTCGGCCGAGCGAGCAGACGAGCGAGAAGACGGTCGACTGCCCTTCTCACTGGAGTCTCCTACGTCGGGGTGTGGTTGTAGCGATCGGAGGGGTATGTGAGAGGCGGAGGAGGATGAAGGAATGATGGCGGTGACGGGCTGCGGTGCCCGAGAAATGCGAGGTTCTTGAAGGTCTTTCTGTATGTAAGCGATTTCTCCGCAAGGAGGTCAGCTGTTCCCCCACTTTTTTGGGGAGATCCCCGTAGCGCCACGCGTTGAGGCTACGTAGAGACTTGGACTCTCTCGAGTCTGTTGAATCAAGTCACACGAGATGGGGTCATGCGGGGAGATCCGAGAAGGGTTTGGTCTTGGACATATAGTACGGAGTACGGAGTATGTGGTCGTATATTACAGCAGAAACAGAGGGAAAAGAAGAAGAAAAAGAAAAAGAAGGCTAGTTATATCGAGGTAGGGGCTGTCACAGAAAGTGGGTACTGCCAATACGAATCCTCAAATCCGGGGGAGGATCGACGGGCCGCTCAAGTGTCCATTCTGCTGTCCGGAATAGTGCTATAGTGACACTCATACTGCCCAGACATGTTGGATATTAAATCCCTAGTTGACTGTGTATTTTGTGCATGGCTCTAGATCTACTCCGTACAGGTTAGACAGAGCAATACTACCCCTAGGTACCTGCATTATGCATCTACTAACCCCTTTATCTCTCACCAGGAACGATATACGAGAGCACCGCGAACATCCTATAAGCAAATCCTGTTGTGCAAAGTAATTCGCAGTCCTTGGACCTCCGTTCTCATATGTAAATTGGTCTGTAAAGTCACATTTCAAACCAGGGTATCGAATATGTTCCAAAAAAAAATCTATAAGCAACACCGTCAATGCTCGCCACCAGTTGACGAAAAAAAGAAAATAACAGAAAATAACCGTAAGCCTAGGTAAGAAGGATATCATATCCTTCATTCTGAATGTGAACAGCGTCGGCAAGGTTGGCATATCGTCGACGAACCAACTCAAAGATCACCAGACCGGCGCTAGTGCTGGGAACTTGGCGGATGGCGGTGCCAAGGAATCCCCGAAAGAGCCACGGGCGCCACCCCCAACCCGTGCCGCCTTGCGCTTGCACCGTTTGAATGTTTCCTGATACGCGTGGTAATATAATTGCATCATTCTCTGTCGGGAGGGGGTGAGGCTGGCTTGATGGTCCAGATACTCAAGCCGACCCAAATGAAGATCTTGGATGATGCTCAACGGGTGTTGGATTGTTTGTTGGGCGATCGATGCCACGACACCAGCCATCATAAGGAAGCAAGGTTCCAACGCATAGTGCGGTTTGATAAGCGGCACACCACGGTCACTCACCTCGGAAGAAGCAAGCAGGTCCACACGGTTGGCTTGCAGAGACCCATAGTACCAAGTCACGAAAGAATAGTAGGATTGTGACTTGATGTATTCAAACGACGAGAAAAAGACTGCATAGCCAAGGGAGTCACGCAGAAAGGAGAGACTCCAGCCCGCAAAGACTCCACGAAGGCCAATCTGCTTGAGTTTTTGGTGGCCATAATGCCACATGCTGCGGTATTGACCCTCTAGCATGTCGCTCGTCTGAAGGCGAACCTGCAAGGCGTCCAGTGGGGCAGCGATGATCGACTGGATTGTCCCTGCAGTGAACCCTGCGGTGAAGGTTGCAGAAGGAGGGGCTGGGGGCCAGACTCGCTTGGCTCCCTGTGATACAGGTTCATGGAGAGTCCCCAAGACCTGCAGATAAGATGTGTAAAGAACAGCACCAACCCTATGAGACATGATTAGAGGATGAAATGTCGAGCATTGGGCCCTCATAGAGGACTCACCCTGCATTTGCCATCAAGGGTGGTAACACTTGGTTGGGAATAAAGCGCCAGCCGTATGTTCGAACGGCATGGAGTAGCAACCCGGGGGTCGTTGTATGAAGAGACCATTTGCCATCAGCAACACGAGGATTCACGGCTCTTGCATATGCCTAATCTCAGAAAATGCCCAACAGCCCATGGTTAGTTCCATGCTCCGACAGATCAAAGGGTAGAGAGAGATACCATATAACTGAAGACCGGGTGTCAGATATAAATATGACTCGCTCAAAGGGTCCAGCAACTTACTCAACACGTGTACGGAAAAATGCCTTGATCGGGGCCCTAAAGTAGAAGGCTACCATTTGGGCACTGAGAGCGCGAACACCTGCTGCCGACACTCCGGTGGCTGCATCGCTGCGAGGCTTTCGTTTTGTGTTCCCCAGCTCCCCAAGATGAGGTTCCAGTAGGATGGGAGCTATGGATGTCATCTTTCACAAGCATGAAATCACGAAGGTCGTCATAAGAGAGCGTGGTGTATGTTCAGAGATTGGTCGAAGAGCGGAATATAAAGCGGTGGGTGTGGGTGTGGTAGCATCACAGGTTGACGAGTAAAACGATTGAATAAAGGTTCACACCTGAGCCTAACATCGTGACCCTTCCGACACCAAATCAACCCAAGTAGTGAGCCTTGAGAAACGCAGCGGAGGTACAGACAGAGAGACGGAGCTATTCCAGCATCACATCAGACGCTAATCCCAAATAGGTAATACTTTGACACGGTAGACCAGTAAGGCCCAAACCGTCAAAACGCGCGCTTTTCGCGTTCCCCTAAGGTTGTCCTTCTCTTCCACCCCCATCTTCCACCTCTCCATCTTCTGGTTGAACCCCATCTACGTTCATCAGAGCAGTCGCATATTGACATATTTCCCTAATCTCTCCACCCCGTTTGCTGGGCCTGCGATAGCTCTTAGCTTCTAGCTTACAACCTCGTCATTGCGGCAAATCTTGCTCGCGACAAGACATCATGGCTGAGGATATCGCTATTGACAGCAACGCCTTTTTCAGTCGCCTCTCCAGCTTCTATGCATCCTGGAAGGCTGATAAGCGCTCTGGAAATGCTCTCTTCGGCAATGCAGGATCTATGGTGATCCTCATGGGCAAGACTGACGAGGAGAACTCATTTCAGAAGAACAATGCAATGCATGTGAGTGGCCCGCTTCCCAATCTTGAGCACCTGTCTGGCATACCCATGGACTATCTTGCAAACTTCATCGCATCGTTACTAATGGAGAATACGCCTAGTTCTGGCTGCTCGGATACGAATTTCCAGCCACCCTTTTCGTTCTCACAACCGAAGCGATATACGTGGTCACCACAGCCAAAAAGGGTGATTATTGCCGACTTCCGCACTGCGCGCGCCACAATGCTAATATGTTCCAACTACAGCGAAGCATTTGGAATCACTGAAGAACGGCAAGATTCCAGTTGAGATTTTGGTCACCACTAAAGATCCAGAGTCCAAGACAAAGGCGTTCGCGAAGTGCATTGAAGTTATCAAAACGGCAGGAGTGAGTTTGAGAGAAAGACCTGTATGGGGATACGCTAGTTCGCATCGGACTAACCGCACACAACACAGGGAAAAGTTGGTACCTTCCCCAAGGACACAGCTTCGGGCCCCTTTGCGGATGAATGGAAAAATGCCTTTGCGGCTGTCTCCAAAGAAATTGAAGAAGTCGACATCACACCTGCGCTTTCGGCTGCATTTGCCATCAAGGATTCCGATGAATTGGTTCGTTGGACAACCCGATGCCCTGTTGGATGAGGATCACTAACGCGGTACAACAGGTATCCATTCGCAATGCCTCCCGAGCATGCAGTGGTCTGATGTCGGAATACTTTGTGGACGAGATGTCTCGTTTGCTCGACGAAGAACAGAAAATGACACACAAGGCGCTGGCTGCAAAGGTTGATGCAAAGATCGACGATGCCAAGTTCTTCAACAAGTTGGCACGCCTGCCGGCGGAGTTTGATGCTCAGCAGATTGACTGGGCTTACGGGCCTGTGATCCAAAGCGGAGGTGCATACGATCTCAAGCTCACAGCCAAATCGGATGGCAAGACCCTCGAGCCTGGAATCATTCTATCCAGCTTCGGAATTCGTTACAAGACGTACAGCTCACTCATAGGGCGTACCTACCTCGTTGATCCGACCAAATCACAAGAAGCCAATTATGCTCTGCTGCTGAGTCTCCACGAGGCAACTATGAAGGAAATCCGAGATGGAGTGGTCGCTAAAGATGTCTACAACAAAGCTATTGGCCTCCTTCGCACCAAAAAGCCTGAGCTTGAAGCGCATTTTGTGAAGAATATCGGCGCAGGCATTGGAATCGAGCTCCGAGACGCCAACATGGTTCTCAACGCCAAAAACAACCGTGTTCTGAAGAACGGCATGACGCTCTCTATCACAATCGGACTGACCGATGTGAAGGATGCAGATTCGAAGAATGCCAAGAACGGTGGTTATTCTATGGTCATCACTGATACAGTCCGCGTGGGAGACAATGGACCTCACATCTTCACCAAGGACGCAGGTATTGACATGGATTCCATCTCGTTCTACTTTGGTGACGAGGAAGAACCCGAAAAGCCAGCCAAGGAAAAGAAAGAGAACAAGTCCAGCGCCATCGCGAACAGAAATGTCACACGAACGAAGCTGCGCGCTGAGCGACCAACACAAGTCAACGAAGGAGCGGAAGCCCGGCGTCGTGAGCACCAAAAAGAGCTGGCCTCGAAAAAGACCAAGGAGGGCTTGGAGCGTTTCACAGGTACTACCGGAGATGAGAACGGAGTTGCACAGAAGAAGTTTAAACGCTTCGAGTCTTACAAACGTGATAACCAACTTCCCGCAAAGGTTAAAGACCTGACGGTATACGTTGACCTCAAGACTTCAACTGTCATTGTGCCTATCATGGGCCGGCCAGTCCCCTTCCACATCAACACCATTAAGAACGCCAGCAAGAGTGATGAGGGAGAGTACGCATATCTCCGTATTAACTTCTTGTCTCCGGGTCAAGGTGTCGGCAGAAAGGATGACCAGCCATTTGAGGATTTGTCCGCTCATTTCGTCCGCAACCTTACCCTCCGCTCTAAGGACAACGATCGACTTGCACGGGTTGCCCAGGATATCAGTGAACTGCGCAAGAATGCTCTGAGACGTGAACAGGAAAAGAAGGAAATGGAGGACGTTGTCGAGCAGGACAAATTGGTTGAGATCAGGAACCGCCGTCCCGTGAAGCTTCCAGACGTCTATCTTCGGCCTCCATTGGACGGCAAGCGTGTGCCGGGAGAGGTCGAGATCCACCAGAATGGTCTGCGGTACCTGTCCCCCTTCCGCAATGAGCACGTCGACGTCCTTTTCAGCAACGTCAAGCATCTATTCTTCCAGCCTTGTGCCCATGAATTGATTGTCCTCATTCATGTGCACCTCAAGACACCCATTATGATTGGCAAGAGAAAGACCAAGGACATTCAGTTCTACCGCGAGGCAACAGAAATGCAGTTCGATGAAACAGGAAACCGTCGACGCAAGCACCGCTATGGAGACGAGGAGGAGTTTGAGGCCGAGCAGGAGGAAAGACGCCGCAGGGCCGCGTTGGATCGAGAGTTCAAGGCGTTTGCCGAGAAGATTGCCGACGCCGGCAAGGATGAGGGCGTCGACGTCGATATTCCCTTCCGAGAGATTGGATTCACTGGTGTTCCAAACCGGTCCAATGTTCTGATCCAACCGACCACAGATGCTCTGGTCCAGCTGACCGAGCCTCCCTTCACCACGGTCACATTGAACGAAATCGAAATTGCTCATCTGGAGAGAGTTCAGGTAATTAATCGCCTCCCCCTGTGTGTCCGGAATATAAGGTTTACTAACAGCACGGCAGTTCGGACTCAAAAACTTCGATTTAGTATTTGTCTTCAAGGATTTCCGCCGGGCTCCGGTTCACATCAATACTATTCCGGTTGAAGCTCTGGAAGGTGTGAAGGACTGGCTTGATTCAGTTGACATTGCCTTCACCGAGGGACCGCTCAACTTGAACTGGACTACGATCATGAAAACAGTTGTCAGCGATCCTTTCGGCTTCTTCTCAGACGGTGGTTGGTCCTTCCTGTCCGCCGAGTCAGACTCCGAGGGCGATGATTCGGAGGAGGAGTCTGCATTCGAGTTGTCTGACGAGGAGCTTGCGGCTGGAGACGAGAGCTCTGAAGAAGATAGTGAGTTCGATGACGACGCGAGTGCCGATGCTAGCGATGAAGAATTCAGCGGCGACGAGGAGAGTGGTGAGGATTGGGACGAGCTCGAAGAGAAGGCTAAGCGTAAGGATAAAGAAGACAACGACGACAGCGATCGTGGAACCAAGCGCAAGCGTTAATGCGAGTGGTTCTAGCCTTCACTGGGACCGGAATAATCTTCTCCTCATGTCTTCATAATCATCTTATCATGTTTTACCTTGCTGCTGCTTTTTTGGTCCCTTATTTTTCTTTCTTACTCCGTTGAACATTCGAACAAGTCGGGTCATGATTCATATGCCTAATGGACGCCCAGGAGCGGCGGCAATGGAACACAATTCCCGTCGATGATTCTCAATTGTACTCTTCTATCATGACATACTATTCAAGCTACCTGTACTCTCGTAGTTTCCCTTGGTTTCCATTTGGAAGTTATCTGTCTGTCTCCAATACAATACAAATATTGTTCTTATTTGCCTGCACGCATTGAGTCCCACATACTCCGCATCCGTTCGCTCTGTCCGGGTGTGAAACTTTCGTAGCAAACGTCAGACGAGTAATCCATGAAGTCGTGCACTGCATCCTGGCCAGGGACATCTGGACACGAGTCCTTGTGAGCAGGGCAACCATCGGTCGGGGTGGATTGCTGAGGGGTGTCATTGATGTAGTCACCAGGGTTGTCCGCCGAGCAGGATTCACCCTGGAAGGTATGCAGGAGGCCATTCCAATGGCCAATCTCGTGGATAGCAGTACCACCCCTGTTGTAGAGATCTAGCGAGCCACCGGGCATAGTTTTGGCCAAAATATTACAACCATCCTTGACATATTGAGAAGCCGGGCTGTCAGCATTGATCTTGGGGTCGGGCAAAGTACAGAATCCGAGGACACTCGCGGCCAAGTCACTGTTGGTACCCCGAGTCCCGAGAGCACGTCCGGATTGCCCCGGTGTCGCTTGAAGATTCGTTTGGAAGTAGACATTCAACGTGCGATAAGTTCCTTTGCGCAGGGCGGTTTTCATTGCCGTTTCATCTCCATTCCGCGCCCACTCATCATTTACATGACGGGTGACACCTTGTAAGCGGAATGAGATATCGGAGTCTGCATATGAGTCTTGGAGGATAGCCAGCTGGAGTAGAGTTAGCATAGCTGGTATATGAATTGACTGGGCAAACACGCACTTGGGAATCGATCATGTCATCCGTAACTTGCTCGGACTCAGACTTGCTGCTCACAATATGGAACCAGGTCTCGATCTCAATGGGGGCCCTTCGGGCTTGTGTGTTGGCCGAATTGGCCTCGCTCGAGTTCAAACGACCAATTTCATGAAGGAAGGTCTCATCGGGGTCTTCAGTGGCACATGCACCACGTATCTGATGAGCAAGGGGGCTGCAGTGAGCCTGCAGGAAAAGAGATGTGATAAGAACCACGAGCTGGAAAAAAGAATGACGGACCATATCGGTGTTGGAAGCTCTGGTCTCGATGTTTTCCCCCGGCAAATTCGGGGGATGAAATGAACAAGCAAAAAGAAGGAATGGAGTTGGAAAAGACCCCAGTCCCATGGCTAGCTATATGGCCGGATTCTCCTCTCAGATGCTAACGTGGTCTGATTCCATGATCCGATGGAATGCTGCGTCATGGAGAATGCATATCCTCGGCAAGGGGATACTTGGAGCATGCTAAAGATCAGCGTGGAAAGGTTGGTATGTGAGAATATATATGACTGTCAACACAAGAGATTTTGAATGGACGAGTTAAGATACAACGTAGTACATGAGAAAACACCTTGCTAAACACCAAAGGTTTCCTTATCCAGATTATTTACACCGAGCAAATGAAAAGAGGACAACTGGGGAGGGAAATAGAAAGAGAAGGAACTGAACAGAGAGAGAGAGAGAGAGAGAGAGAGAGAGAGTTAGGGTCCACTGGGCCCATATCTGTCGTCCCGTCCTGAGGAGACACCGGTACTGGGCTGGTTTGAGTCCCAAGTAAGATAGGTGTGGTCTCCGAGTTTTCTACATCGATTTAGTTTTTGGGGAGAGAAAATGGGATGCGGGATTTCATACCTTGGGCGGATCAGGTGTGCAACAGTGAACAATGCACCAAGAAGCACGCAGACTCCCCCAACCACCACATAGGCGATTCCCATGAATGGGTTCTTGCCTCCGAGTGCAGTTCGAGTGGAGATCAAGATGGACTTTGTGCCCGAGTATTCTGTGACGTTAAAATCTACGCACATGTTAGCAAAACCAATGGAAATAACAGGAAGGGGACTGAGAAGAGGAAGAAACGTACTGTCAGTGATTGCAAGCGAATATTGACCAGCTGACATCGAATGAGTGTCATTGCGGCGGGACAGTTTACTGAACGATGGCAGTCCAGCAGTTCTCATCCAAACCAGGAAGTCTTCGTTGTCCTGTAATTCGTTCAAGGAGGTGTAGACACCGTCAGTGACCGCCCAGCCCCAATTTGGCGGCGGCAAGACTTGATCGCTGGTGTATTTTGTCTTCTTGATCAGTTCCTTGTCGCTTTGCCACGCAATCCCCTTCTTGGTCATGTTGTAGTAGGTCGGTGATCCGCCTGCCGATCCCTGGGCCGAGTTGAGTTGGGGATTCCCGATGCTGTCGTTGAACATCGAGTTGGCAATCAGTCCACATGGGTAGAACGGCTTCTTGGCTGTTTCGTTCACATCCAGAGGATCACAGGTACCGCCTTTGAGTGTGCCATATGAGACAGCATCTCCCTTGAGTTGGTTCAAATCGAGTGATTGGACGTATCGGCGATGGTTTTGGTAGAAGTTGGTGAGACGATAGTACATGTATACGGGTGCTGGAAGCTCGTCTGGTATATCGAAAGTCAGGTGGCAGACGGTGGCGTCCGAAGAGTCAACCGATCTCTGCCACGTTGGGGGGTTTTGCATTTTGGATTTGAAAGTTGCCGAATAGGTGGGAACGGGGCTGGCCGAGTCACCCTGCAACGGCGCCAATCTTGAGCAGTCGGAGTAATCAATGGAGATTTCTTGAACCTAAAGAGCGATACGTTATGATCAATTTCATCACTGCGCAATCCCGAACCAGCGACTTACTAGGGAGCTTGCCCAGAGGAGAACACCACCGATGGGGGCAAATATGACGCCAACAATGAAGAACAGAGGCAGAACACTCTTCGGGGTGAGAATTGGTCTGATGAAGAGTTAGCTCAGTCTAGAATAGGCGCAGCATTCAATCTCACTGCCATGCTTTCAGTCGTTGCTGGCGAAAGGCAGTGTCTAGACGGTTTAGCGGATGTGTGTGCAACAAGGGGATGAGGCTGGACTCACTAGCTGGTCGGCGACTCTTCGGCTTCTTGTCATCATCTCGACGCTCTTGGTCAATAGACTCAGGACGAGTTGCCTCGGCCTGCGACATGATGCCAGAATGATGGAAATAGATGAGGTTGATAAGACAAGGAGACGTCAGAAAAGGTGGCGCGGACGCGCCGGCAGTGCGCCCCACCGCTTTTTAATTAGAAACACGTTCGATAACGTTTAGGTACCTCTTCTTGTTCACAAGTATATTTCTTATTTACAAGTACAAATAATGCAATATTACCCATCACGTTGGATATAAAAGGGTTTTTAGATGGAAACAATCATTTAAAAAGAAGTATACGGAGAGGGCTCGATGGAGATTTCACATAGTATGTAGTAGTGATGGATTCAATTCGACTAAAAAGACCAAATCTGGTCAGGGTATCAAGCCTGGTCCCCCGTGCGAACATCAAAAGAGCAGGCGAAAAGTTCAAAGTGCAAAAACCTCGTGGTGGAAATCCGTGGCTATCCAAGCCTGCCAATCTAGCCCAAGTTGAAAGTAAAAGCAAAGCAAAAGAGTGATGAGATCCGGAACGCCGTAGCCAGTGACCCAAGCCGAAAAAAAGGTCACATCCCATGCAGGGATAAAAAGGTGAAAAGGGAAACATTACACGCAAGGCAACGTCTTGTATGCAAAATGAACCGAAGGGGGGGGAATCTTCAAGCGCAGAAAAGCAGAAAAGCAGAAGGGAACGGGAACGGGAACGCGGAAACAAGAGCAAGTCGTCAAGTGTCGTGAGGATGGAGTGGCGATCAGTGGCGATGAGACTGAACAGTCCAGTGTGGGAGGAGTCAAGTGTAGAAGGATCAAGAGGATATGCCGAGTGTCTTGGGCGTTCAGAGTGCGCTGAAGTGGATTAATAGACAAAGGCTGTATTGCGCAGTGGTGGACACTGGGGGTCAGTGGACAAGGTCATCCTTGGGAGGCATTAATCCGTCCTGAGAGGAAAGGAATATGGTCATGAGCTGAATCCACGACGGTGGGGGGTTTATGAAAAATCACTTCAAATATTGGTTGAAATATTCAGGCTTGAACCAACCCACCCGTTCATAGGCGGTCCACAGCTTGCTCGCCTTATTGACGTCAATCTTGCAGGCCTGTTGGGCATCTGTCTTGCGGAACTCTTTGCCCACACCTAGCGCTCGCACTCGGGCTTCAAAGATCCGACGCTTGCTGCAGAGGTATGTGGCACAGGACAGACGGAGGGTGGAAGCCAGGTTGATTTCAGCGGGACTGAGCATGTGCTTGTCCACATCGCTGCTCAGATCTAGCATCTGCCCTTTCCAGTCCGCTTTCAGGGCCTTGACATTGCTGCCCAGGGTGTCCAGTGGTGGGGAATAGTCCATCAGTGAGTGATAATCGGTGTCATCCCGATTGGTCCCCAGAGTCCGCGGCTTAGTCGCCGGGGGGGAGTCAAAGACATCGAGGATCTGCTGTTTGGGGGTGGACTTAGGGGTGCGTCGGACTCTGGGTCGCTGCTGAGTCCGCGGTTGGGCTCCTGCTTTCTTCACTGGGGCGGGGGCAATTCTCTTCAACTTAGGTTCTTGATCCGGGCGATATCGGTTCATCATCACCATCTGCCGCTCCAGGGTGGCCCGTTCCTCCCGCGCCCAGGCCGCTGGGTTGCGGTTGTACTGGGTCGAGACGATGGGCACACATGACAGCGCCAACAGGTACTCCTCTCGGGTGGGCTTGTTTACTTTGTTTCGAAACAATGCCATGTGCGAGTCAATATGGCGGTCGACCAAGGCCTCGGCCGATGGCGCGGGGCCAAACAACGGCTCCTCATTGGCGTCAGTAGTTGAGTCCTGCGTGGGGAATAGAACGGGATCTCTGGTTGATCCTCCTTCTATGTGGTCAGATGGTGAATCTCGTTTCTTGTTCCCGGTGTACGGGGTCACCGGTGGCGAGGGGAGATTCATTTCTGACTGAGTGCGCTTTCGATCAGTTGCGATTGGAGGCAGCGTCATGTCCCCCGATGCGGTCTGCGGCTTTGCAAACGGCGAGAGTGCCGAGAAACTTTCCATTGGCTTGGTCTCGGGGGGAGACATGAGGCTTGACACCGAAAGACGATTCATGTTGGGCTGTTGGGCTGAGTGCCCAGGTGATGTCATACCAAATCAGATAATTGAGAACGGGCGCAAGCAGGTGCTTGGAATTGGGATATGGGGGAAGTGAGAGGGAGAGGGAGAAAGAAAGAGCAGCAGGGAGAGAGACGGAGAAGAGGTCCCAGATAATAGGCGACAGTCGAAACAGAGAAGTCAATGGAATGATTTGTCACCTCTTTGTGTTGAGTTAGAGTGGCGATAAGCCGGAGTTAAGGATGAGTCAATTCGACGAGCGCAAAGCGAAAAGGAAAGAGAGAGGAAAAGAGCCAGTAATTGGCGAAATCCGGAATTTAAGTGAGTCAATTGATAAACTGCGGGGTGGCGCGCGTAAAGGAAGTCCTCAAGGGGCTCATGGGACAGTCTCATGAGACAATGGAGAGCCAATGAAAAGGAGAAATTGAAAGGAAATCGCCAACGAAAAGAGAAGAGAAAGGGCTGGGGCGCAGTCATCTGGGAGGAACCAGCTGATCGTATTTGGTTTTACCGTGACCGCTGCCCAAAAGGCAGTCTTGGTATTTCCAAGGATCATGTACAAAGCAGAGATGTATAGATTGTGGATGCTGCCCAAAGGAAATGGTAGGATCCACCCACAAAAGGTACTTCAAGGTACTTGAGAGGGGTATCTTTGGTAAATTACTGTATTGATCTTTCCATGCCACATGACAACATCCCATGCGGGCAATGACCTAATAGGACGACTGCAGTCAACGACTCCTCCAATCACTTCTCTTCTTTGCTCCGTACGCGCTCTGATCTTTTGGTAATTGCTGGTCTTTTTTTCCTTATCGTGCCCTCTCTCCTCTCTCCTCTCCCTTTCTCTCTCTCTCTCTCTCCTCTCTGTCAATTGTTGCTTATTCTTGGGAATCATCCGTGCGAGCAAATTCGTGATGACGTCGGGTATGACTCATACGGAGACCCGAAGAGATGGAAGAGATGGGGGCTGTTGCCTGCAGGCAGTCATGCGAGTATATGATTTCATGCCTTTCGCCCTGAATCGTCTCATGTTCTCGGTCCAGATACTGGGTTCTGCTGCTAAGCCTCTGTCGTAATCCAGGCTTGCACGAGGCTGATTCCGATGTGGGTCTTACGTAGTACATTGTATATAGTACATTGCACATTGTATATTGTTTAGGTACAATAGACTCGGTACGGAGTACTCCGTACATGATGTACATATGTGCTCTATATTACTGGTGCCTCCTGGTATACACAGTCGGGGCACGGACATCAGACAACATTTTATGGCCAATGTTCTATCCATTCGGGGACACCTCGTCGCAACCTTAAATGCCAGGTCCATAATGTTCAATTGCAGGTGAAGTTCTTCCGAGGCCATTCGGTATCACTGATTCAGAAGTCTATGCCTCGACGAGAAAGTTCAACTCAAAAATCCTACCGAACGAGCAATAGGACCGCTTTACCCTTTCCAGTACATACACTACGGGGCTATGGCAATGTTGGAGTTGAGGAATACCAACTATGCCCTGCAAGACTTGAGGGGAATCTATGGATGAAGTGGGTATGCGACCACGTAGAAGCTTAACGTGCTCTGTCAAAATTCTTTTTTCTACGATAGAATGCAGGTGTGTTCCCTGTGCTTCATTTGCCTCTGTTGACCCTCTTACTCCCATGCGTTTTTGGCAACTTTTTGATCGTTCAGCTCCAGAGGTTTCTCGACTCTCTAGGATGATGTTAACCGCCCTGCGATATACTCTGCTCATTGGCTCATACACAATAATCTCTCCCCAAGAGACCAATCCTATAGTTTTTCACGCCTTGTTTAGTCCATTTTATCTCGGGGGGACAAAATCCATATCACAAGGCCACACAGCGCTCAGGTATAGACCTGTGTTCTGTCCACCAATGTCAGAGGCACCATCTGTGCGCTAGGTATGGAGGGTCATATTGAATCATCCATGTGCATACGTGAGTGTGCGAGTGAATATTGTATGAGCCTCTGTCGTCATCATTTGCAGGTAGTCTTGTAGCGAGAGATACTAATCAATTGAAAAAGGACAGAGCAAAAGATAGTAAAAGAATATGGCAAATAGATGGTAAAGCGGCAGTAAGCCATTCCATGGAGTACTCTCGATTGCCTTTTGATGCTACCTTCGGCCTGAAGGAGAATGCATTGGGGACACTCGATCAGAGGCTTGATTATTTTAGAAAGTATGGATTAATTTAACCTACTCTTTTTGAATCAGATTATCTCTTTGTCGATCAATGAAAGCTTTCTGTTGGTTTCGTTATATCTACATTAGCTCTCTTTCGTATTGTTAGGATCGCTGGACTTTAGTGCTGGACCTGGATGCCTGGGTGCCTAACGGCCCGCTTGGCGGGGCAAGCTTCGGCGAGGTCACATAATCTGTCACGTGCATAGGGAGGATGGGGACCTCACTATATAGATCCTAACAGCTCTCTCTCTTTTCTTTTCTTTTTTAGTTCGATTATTGTCGTTCTTTAGACTATAATAAAGATCTTTTTCTTTTGTACTTTATTAGTTTAATATAATAATAGAAAATTATCTTAACTTTCTATATTTGATAATAAGTATTTATAGATATCTATCTTAATACTAATTAAATGATTAATGAAAAGATTTTTTAAAAGTAAATTAGATTAACTAGAAATATATTAAATTAATATAATATCTCTATTAATCTAGCTTTAAAAAAATATATATATATATATAAGAAAAAAATACATATAAAGAAATTTCTTTTATCTTTAGATTATTTTTTTAAAATCTAAATTTAAATATAGAAGTAAACATATTAAAAATTATCTAGATAAAGATATAAAGAATTATTTAAAAAGATTTTTAAAAAATAAATATTTTATTAAACTAGTTAAGATATATATATAGATAATAAAAGAATATAAAATTAGCTAAATTATATTATAAGAAAAATAAAATAAAATAAATAGACTTTATATTATTATAAATTAAATAGATAATATAATTAATAAAAAATATATTATATAATTAATTTATAAGATAGAGATTATTTAATTATAAATTAAAGTCTAATATTCAACAATAAAATAATAAATAAATAATATATTAATTATAAAAACTATTTTGTATAAGATTTAAAAGATATTAGATCTTTTTATATTTAATAATAAAAAAATAATCTATTTTAAATATTAGATTATTAAAATTTATTAAAAGCTTAAGATTAATATTAACTATTTTTTAATCTTGTTTATCTATAAGATCTATATAATTAATTATTATAAGAATAAGATTTATCTTTATATTAAAAATAACTAGATCCTAAGTTTAAGAAATTATATATAGATATTAATAATATAATTATTTATTTAGGGGATTGTTATATAAACACCCCACCTTACTAAAAAAACAACCCCCTGCCTGATTTTGATGCCTGAAAAAGTATATGCTTACTGCCACATCTTAGCAATAATTGCCACGTATCAATATCTATACTGTCTTCACCCTGGTCACGTGACAAAAATCAAGTAATTTCCAAGGTACCTACTTTGATTATGGAAATTCCCATATAAAATGAGTCGCTTTAAAGTATTATTATTCTATTGGGCTGGTCACGTGATTGCCCACATGATTTTGGGATCGAATTTCATGCAATATCTATGACGAAAAAGGAATGTCACGTGCTCATGGTAATAAGGGACATGAGGTTGGCATTAAAGACCCAAGACGGCTAAGTTGTTAATACCTGGGGTGTCAGGTGTCAAACTTCCTAATCAGGTTAGAGGGGTGTTTTTTTTGGTAAAAAGGGTGTTTTTTTGGGAGGGGGGGTGTTTTTGTATAAATCCCCTATTATAAATATCCTTATTATTAGTTAATAAGGTCCTTTTATAATTAATATTATAATACTATTTATATATAATATTAAAATCTTATAACAAATTTATCATAATTTATTATAATTTGAAAAGAAAATAATTATTTTAATAAAATTAATTTATATATATTATAACTAATATTATCTTAAAAATATTAACTATCTCTTTAATAAGATTGGTTAAATCTTAGATATCTTTTAAAATAATTTTAAAAGAGCTCAAATAGTTATTATTATATTTATTATATAAGATAGTTATATAGATAAAAATATATTCTATCTTTATAGGGTTATTAAAATCTAGATTCAGATTTGAGATCACTTTGTATATATAAATTAAATATTAATTGTATTATATTTAAATTAATAGAAACTTTTGAAAAAGATAGAAAGTAATAAAATATAGAAATTTAAATATTAAAAGATTTTTTTAAAATTTTATTTCTAGATATCCTTTAATTAATAAATATATGTTAGAATTATAAATTTATAATATCAGGATCGCTAGACTCGCTAGACTTTGGTGCTGGACCTAGATACCTGGGTATCTAAAGGTTTGTTTAGCGAGGTAGGCTTTAATGAGGTCACGTAATCTGTTATGTATATAGAGAGGATAGAGACCTCACTATATAAATCTTGACAGCTCTTTCTCTCTCTCTCTTTTTTCTCTTAATTCTATTGTCGTCGTTTCTTGGACTATAATAGAGATCTTTTTCTTTTATACTTTACTAGTCTAATATATAAAAGGGATTAATATAAATACCCTTTTTTTATTAAGAATATACTTTTTTATTAAGAATATACTTTTTTATTTAATTTAAATATCTAAAAAAAAATATATATATACGAAGTATTATATCTTAATGTCTATATTAAATTTATTTTAATTATATGATCTATAGTAATAATAATAAATAATAAGAAGTTGATATTAAAGATTTAAAATAGCTAAGTTATTTATATCTAGAGTTCTAATTAAATATTAAACTTCTTAATTAGACTAAAGAGAGATTTTTTTTAATTAAAAGAAATCTTTTTATATTAATCTCTTATATAAAAATTTTATAAAGAAGATCTTTATATAAAGCTATTATTAATCCTTTAAGCTAATCTAACATTAAGAAATTAGTAAAATAA